AGCTCAGGAGCAGTGCGCCCGACCAGTGCAGCAACAATAGTCTCCACCAGTTCAGGAGCTGTGAGCGCTACCACTGCAGGAACAAGCGCAACATCTGTTCAATATACGACAGCAGCAACAACAGCTACACCAACCACTCAAAGTAATTTCACAGTTTTGGTTTGTTACATTTAATCTCATGTAAAAATTTTGATTTTCAGGATGTGTATGGACACTCTGGAATGTGACATCCAGCTGCTCGCAAACATGTGGAGTAGCATTTCGAACAGCTGCTCGTTCATGCGTCGATTCAATAACCGGTTTAGTTTGTAATAGTGTTGCTTGTGGTGGAGGGAACTCGACCCGAACTGAAAGCTGTTCTAGTTCTCCACCCTGCGGAAGTATGCATCTTAATTCGTTTGAGTGAATTAAATATGATCAGTATGCATTTTTTTAATCTTATTTTAGCAATAATAGTCACCCCAACGCCTAGTATTCGCAACCCTAGCTTACAAATTACTTCGTACCGATTACCGAATCAAATATACCTTTTTGATAAAAATTACATGAGCATTTGGGTAAGATTACGGATATTTTCATGATGATAACTAATCTGAACAATTTTTAGATAACAAATAAGGGTTATATCAGTTTGGGTACACCTTTTTACAGTCAAACAATGACAAAACCGATATTTGATCTGCTTGGTGGTGCGACGATTATAGCTCCATTTTGGACTAATCTTCTGTTTGATGTAAGTGTTATTATATTATTCGTTTTTTCTTCAATAATTAATCGAAACATACTTCTTTTAGAATTCTTCGAGCATCGTTGCTAATTGGTATAATTCTTTGACTGCTAATCAAACTGAAACGGCTGCCTACAATTCTACCATTCATCAAGTAATTAGTGATGCTTGCCCAAGAACTGTGTGTTCCCAGAATCCTGCAGCAGTTCGAGCTGTTCAAATCAATTGGAAAAATTTTTATTACACTTCTCTTGCTACCAATCAAACAATAGTAAATTCAGTAGTTCAGTGATTCTTACTAATTGTTTTTATTTTTTTTTCAGAACGTCTCGTTTTCGACATATCTGATAAATATATATGACACAAGTTCTTATAGTTATCCAGTTCTTGACGCATACGTTTCGTTTGATTATACTAATCTTACAAGCAACTTAGGTGATCTCAGGCCGTTTGTGGGTATGTAAACGATTCTATTTTATAGATAAATAAAAATTTGAAAAAACTCTCCTTTTACATCTAGGTTATCGCGGAAGTAATTCCATGGTAAACGTTTTCAATGAACCACGTGCTACTACAAATGCAGTATTTCTAAGTATGCGTTTTTTATCAAATAAATAAACATTTCCAAAAACAACACTTCTTTTTTAGCGAATTCTTCAAGTCAAAACTCGTATATTGGAGGTACCTTTTTAACTCACTGCTACGTGAGCTATTTAAATCAAATAACACACTACAACCTCAATCCTTTACAAAATTTGAATGATGCCACGTATGCGTTTTATTAGCTTTTTTTTGCCTTATTAAGCTCATGATGTTTTTAATCTAGACAAAATCCCCGATTTCCTTGTCCTTGTACAATCGGTCAAGCACGAGCAGATCGACGTTTTAGTGCTCTCTTGAGTGAAAATAAGTATGAAAGATTACAAACCCTTCGTTGCTACGCACCAATAACTACATCTTGGATACGTGTTGGTTTTGTTTTTCAATTACTTAAATCTCAAGTAAATAAATAATCCATATTGTTTTAGTTGTCGCTAAATAGTGTAAATGATAAAAATATGTATTCATTTTATTTCAGACATGTTGCTACAGAGAAACAGGTGGCGGCTTAATAACTTATGGTGAATTCGCTGGTTCAGTACTACTAAATCCATCTTTAATTTTCGCAACATCACCTGGTGCTCGACGAATTTCTTTCCAGTAAGTTACAATTATTTTAACTCGAACAAATCTTAATACATTTATTTGCTTAAAGCGATCAATGTTGTGCACCAACAATCTCGCTAGGAACTGCAGATTGGAATATATGTCGTCTTTATTACGAACTTAATCCAGCAAGCAGTTGCACAGGATATCGACCAACGGCTATGAGTAAGACAGAATTTTATTTATGTTGACTTTCATTTGTTTTAAAATATTTTAGTTTTTGGTAACGGTGATCCGCATGTAAACACCATTGATAATGGACAATATACATGTCATATTCAAGGTGTTTATATATTTGCTCGAACAACGTCTGCGGCTAATGCGACAGCTCAAGAGAACAATAATAACAGCGGCACAGTTGATAGTAACCTTATTCTTCCGGATGATCTATTTGAAATACGTGTTCGTTCTGTATCAATACCACCAGTTTTATCTTATGTTGAACGACAGGTGGGTAATGCGTCGCTGTTTTCCAGCTATTCAATTCTCGCCAGTGGTTATACGTTTAATATCAGCAATATTAATGGACAATTCGGTAAGATAATTGTCCAATAATACTATATGAAAATTTCTGATCAATATTTGTTTTTTTCATTCTATAGGTTTTGTTGTGAGTAATGGCTCATGGAATCTATCATTGACCAGTCAGTTAGCCAACAATTTAAACTATGATAATGCACAGAGTATGGATATGACACAACAATATGCTTATCGCGTTGTACAAACAAATGCAACTACTGGAAGTCTTTCTGTACCTCAAATAACAGTCATCATCTGGTCTGGTATGTAGCATAGGTTTTGTTTTAATAAAAAATAATAATCACAAATAATTTAGGTCTTTCGATGCAATGTCAGATTGTTAGTGCAAATCTTGATTGTATTTTATCATTACCAGGAAAATATTATTCACTGATCGAAGGCTTAGTGGGTAACTTTAATGGGAATTATTCTGATGATCTAGTGAATCGTGGAACAAGTCAACCGGTTGCCATCGCATCTGCAACTGGTGGACCATATACCAGCAATGACTCCGCAGTTCTTAATGCTTGTCTTTCATGTAAATATCTAGATGACAGAAACAACAGTAACATTGAATTTGCGAACATTGTTTTATTATGTTTTAGGGAAAGCACCAGATGATCTGACGCCAAATATAACACAGCCAATTATGCCTTCGTATTTGGTTAATATATTTTATAATCAAAATGAAAATACTCTAGCGAGCTTGAATCCACTTCTAAGTACAACTCAGCTGAATACAACATGTGCAGATAGTTTTGAATGTCGTCATGACTATATCATACGAATTAATCCAGTAGCTAGTGCAGCAACAGCTTCAGGGCTGAATTCATTTCAACAATCAGCAGCAGTATTAGGTAACACATAAACTAGAAAACTATATTGATTTACTTTTCTTTGATTAACACAGAGGAACAAATTCCAACTATCAATATAACTTCAAGCGTACAAATAGCATTGCCATATAATAGTACTAATCGTAATTATGTATTACCAATTGCTATTGGTGGGGCAACAAGTACAATGGTCAATATTTCTCAAAATGGTGTTGTTACCAGCAGCAATTTTAATAATCAGACTATATCGATTCCAATGCCGACTAATATCTCGAGTTATGTCCAAGTTAGGTAAGTAACTGTGAATTCTTCACATGATTCTACATCGTACTTTGTTTTGTAAGTTTTTTATCCCGTGTTACTAATTAAACTATGAGAACTACTGATTTCATCACACCTCGAGGAAACTAATCCATCTGTGTGAAGTAATACAAAATTTCGAACTCTGAAAAAGAAGTCATCGTGCTGTAGTTCGCTCACATAAGGGTCTATTTTTTCCAAAAAGAAGCCCTGAACAAAGAATTAACTACATAGCATTGATATACGCTATGTACAATCGGTGAAAATAGTCAACGCTTGTGGCTAATACAGGAAACCCTACATTTAATGTATAAGCAGAGCGCTCTGGCTATACCCATATGTATCGATAGTCGTACTGATATTCTATATGCTTCTACAAAATACGATCTGATTGAACAGTAGTTTGATGCTTTAAGACAACATGACAAACAGAATGTCACTGTGTGTATTGAAAAGCTATTGTGTTGAACTATGAATTTGATCGTTAAGTCATTTTAGAGATAGACATCAAAAACTTTGAACAGCTAACTTTGAATGACACTTATGGTTTTATTTTCTTCGGTGTTCTCGGCCTATTTTAAGTTGATGGATGCAAATTTCTTGACGATAGGGAACGACGAGTAAATATAGAAAAAAAATTTAATGTCTTATGCATATGACATTTAAGGATTTAAATCGCCAAATACGATTCTTGATTGTTTCTGGCATATAAAAATGTTTAACATGAAGAAATTTTATTCTTGAAACGCCCTACTCGAAAACAATCCCGTTAAACTTCAAAAGACGACTATCCACTATTTTTGAGTCTACAGTTTAACGTTGAAGCCGAACGTGTTTTGTTGTTTATTTTAGCTTGATTATTAGTTATGGTGTGAATTCCACATTGCTGCAATATTTGGACATTGTCGCTTGTCTGTGCGTAGATCCTTCTTATTGTAATTATCTTTATACAAATCAAACATGGGCTAACTATGCAGTTGCTCAATGCGACTGTCCGGGTCAATATTCAGGTATAGCGATTAAACAAAAACTTCATTGATTATCGTTTTACTTCTTTTTAGGAGATTTTTGTCAATCGACATATAATGCATGTAGTTCGGATAGTGCATGTAAAATCAATTGGAACAATTTAACAACATGCATAGCATACAATGCTAGCGAGCAACTCTCAAAAGGACAATCGTTTACTTGTAATGGCTCGTGTGCCAGTGGATTCAGTTCAACTAATAATTACACCTGTGACGGTACGAAAACAAAAGCCTAGTATTTGAAGAGTCTCATTCATAATTATATATTTTTCTCAGATATAAATGAATGTGCACAGAATTCAACTCTATGTGGAAGTAGTGGTACATGTGTTAATACTCTTGGAGGATATTCATGCAATTGTAGTAGTGGCTATCGATTTGACTCTAGCACATGTGTTCGTAAGTTGTTTTTCGAACCAAACGAAGTAAGTTATATATATTTATATATCTTTTTTTTATCAATAGAGATAGATCTATGCCGGGCACCGAATGTGAATGGTGTGTTTAATGTTCAGTGTAATGACAGTCAAGTTTGTAACTATACAAACGGCACCTATTCATGTGACTGTAGTCCTGTTTTTAATGTAAATGGAACTTGTCAATGTAAGTAATATTGATGGCTTCTTTTGTTTTGATTTGATTTCAATTGAACTGTTTGATGAAACTTGTGTTTCTTTAGACAATGCAAGCTATTGTAGTAATGACACCTGCCAATACAATGGATCTGTGTCATGCTTGCATGGTACTATCAACACTAATGGCACTTGCGTTCGTAAGTAGATTTTTAAATCAAATAAATAAAACTGAAATGATGACTATAACTGCCGATAATAATTTCAGCGTGGTGTAGTTCAACTTGCCCTGGCTTTTGTGAACTCACGAATAATCGTGCTTATCAATGCAATTGTTGGAACACTCCTGGCTTTCAGCTTTCTTCGGATGGAACACGCTGTTTATGTATGAATATCTTATCTGATTTTATTATCTGAAACATTCAAATTTATTTTTACTTACAGCATGTAACGGAACGAATAGTTATGGTTACAATTGTAGTCAGCAATGTGCGTGTGCGTATGGCACTTGTAATCCAGCTGCGACAAGTGCAAACGGATCTTGTGGTTGTCAATCTATGTATGGAGGACTATTTTGTAGTAAACTCATTGACATTTGTGGTAAGAATAAAGGTCACGAGAAAAAACTTCCTACGCCACAAAAGATGAGTTGACTATTGTAAGAAAGCATCTCATCGATGTATGATAATCGCTTTGCATATCCTCGATCAGAACAGAATTCAAGAGAAACTACCGAAAAACGTTTACCAAGAACATTTTTAGCTAAAAATAAAACTTCTTAGTTATGAACTAAGGCGAATGAGTGATATTGATATTTGCTTTTACATTATTTATTAATTAGATTTCAAACTCAATTTGTGTTTGTTTTTAGCGACAAATAATCCTTGTAACACTGCTACACAAGACTGTACAACAGATCCAACGACTGGAAATGCAACCTGCAGTTGTAAGTCTGGTTATCAACTAAATGGAACGAATTGCACAGGTATGCATAAATATTAATTGAATGTCTTACGATTTGTTTTTAATTTCTTTTCTACGTATAGACATCGATGAATGTACATCAGAACTAAGCAGTTGTGCTGTCGATGTTTCGTATTGTGTTAACACAGTTGGAAGTTATAATTGCTCTTGCTTACCTGGTTATCAGGTTAGAGAAATCTAAATTGTTTTTCTTTTCTTATTTAATCTTTGCCTGTACATTGTATTCTTCAGCTTGTTAACGGCTCATGTACTAGTATAGATCAATGTAATACTACTGCGGGACTCTGTTCAATCTATACGAATACATATTGTGTTAGTACTCCAGGTTCATATCAATGTCGATGTAACGATCAATATGGATTAGGAGGTAAGTTTCTATAAAAATTCCAATCTAATAATTAAAATTCTTTCTATAGGCAATCCTTCACAAACATACGCAGATGTTCGGAATACAAGTAGTACATGCTTACCATTAGATTATTCATCATTCTGCCAAAATCAATGTGTACCACCCGCTAGCTGTAGTGCATCGACAGGCAAATGTGTATGTCCACTATCAACTATGAGTATTTCCTATAGTAATACTAGTGCAAACGAAACTTGTCTATGTCCAAATGATCCATTTTATATTTATAATGGAAGTGCTTGCGTCAGTTCAATTAATGCTACAGGTAAAAAATAGATCCTTTGTTTATCATGGTTCATTCATTTAATATATTCATCATTTGTATAGCCGACACCCAAGTAACAATTAATTTCATGCTAATACCAACCGGGAAAATTGCAGCTCTCAATACTACGACGTCACAGAACGTTACGCTCACAGTAGAGTTTAATTATTTGCTCTATTCATTTTATTCTATTATTCGGTTCTAGATATCGAACTTTTTCGCAACTCTCAACAAAATATGTGACGCATCATGTATAAGTATATACAATACAATGTTAGTTTGATAGATAGATTTAAAATAAACAGACTAACAATATTATTTTATAGGAATCCATTAGTAGATCTTCAACTTTTCGTTTTGGCGAATGTTTCATTGAGCAGTTTGCAACGAATAGAGTTTGTAAGGTTTATATTTTCGCAACCGAGTCTCTACAATACCAGTTACTCTACAAACTCGGTAGCAATGATAATAGATCCGACAACAAATATTACCGGTAAGAATCAACAACAAAAGACACATGAAGTTTTACTTTTCATTTTCTATAGTTCTTTTTGCATCACCGCCAAATCTTTGTGACGTATGTAGTGCTACTCACGTGGGTGTTTGCAATGCAAATAACGATGGTTGTACCTGTTTGTCTGCTTATCAAGGACAGTATTGTGATACTCCTGCACTTCAATCTACATCGGACAATCGAAGTTGGACCATTATTGTTGCTGTTGTCAGTGCTGTAGCTGGTCTTTTACTAATAATTTCTCTTGCTATGTGTATATTCTTTTGCAAAAAACGACATGAGACATCACCTAAAGTTCCAGCTACAACAAAGAACCGTCCGTATTTTACAATACCTCGTGTCCATCTTCCAACATTGGGTAGCGGCCCAATATTTACTCTGGATAATACCAATGATGGATCATATACGGACGGAGCAGACTCAATACCGTCGAACTCAAATACAACATATAATGCAACATATCGTACAAATGGTGGAGATCCTCCCGAACCCAACTTTTCTATATTTGATGCCTTAGAAAATGGAATTAATTCTTCCAAAGGCCATATACCTCGACCGCATATGATTGGCATGCTTGATACATTGAATAGTTTTCCACCACAGGAACAATTCGGTGGACTATCAGAAGCACAAAGCACATTTTCCGATAGTCAAGATATCGACGATATTGAGTTAGTTACTGATATGCTTGACGATATGACCAAAGACGACGATATGGAAGATGAATTTGTCGAAGCGTTGAATCCAAATCTAGCGCTACCAAGATCAGCTCTACAACCAGAAACGAAACCATCAGGATGGTTTGGCGTATGTTAAAATTGAAAACAGCAGCAACTCTTTATTAGTATTATTTGTTTATTTGTTTTAGTTCTTTCAAAATTCATAATTTAAATTCCCAAAAGTATGTTTTCAAAGACGTCTTGTTATTCATTTTACTGCTGGTTCAGTCTAATTTATATATTATTTTATTCATGCTTGTGTTCATAAACTGCTTTTCATGACATCTTTTTCTAGAGTTTCAATTTGTTTTTTATTGCTTGTTCTTTTGTCGTACTTTATCCTCCCGAGTGATTATTTGTGCGAGGAAGATTGGCATTCAGTGATGATTTAAAAGATGATAGAAAATAAGAAAAAAAAAATGTGACAGTGAAAGTTTTTTTTCTTTATTTATCGAATTATCTTATATACTCGTATTTTCTTTCTTGGCTTTTTTTTATAAATAAAATAATGCGATCGGTTTCAAGGAGATTTTTGTTTTGTTTCTGAACTATTTTGTAATAAGAGCTTGATAATCGTACAAATTGACATGATATAAAATATCTTTGATAATCACGAATAAAAAATAACTCATTTATCAATATTAACTTTGCTTGACTCGAAAATCTGATCCTTTTTGTTTTTTGAATATAAAACATATCAAACTATTAGGCATTCGGTTCACAAAAGAGAGACGTTAATTAGTAGCTCTTTCAATTTTCTTGATCAACGTACGATAGTAAATGAATTTTATGATTGCAAATTATTAAATATCTGGGAAGTCCTGTATTAGGCGCGCAGTACTCGTTGAAAGACATTCAATAGAAAACTAGACATTATTTGATCAATACTAGAAAAAAAGAAAGAAAATCAACAAAAGTCGTATGAATAGAAAAGCTCTTGAAATTTTTTTTCTCTACCATCTGATCAGTAAGATTTACATTACATACTTTAAAAAAATTGAATTTTTACTTAGTATTCATTAAATATTACCTTGTATTTGAACGGATGCTTCTCTTACAGTTATTGCTTTCATAAAGAGATTGCGATAGGGTTTCAATCGATCTCCTATAGAAGGCATGCAAGGCATAATAGAGCTTCTTTTAATACCGATTACATGCCTTTCGTGGCGTTTAAAACAATTTCTGAGTTGCAGACACAATATTTCCTTGAATTTATAGAAGAGATGCACACGAGTTTTATACAAAATCTGCATAGTTGCCAAAGCATTTCTTGAAGTAGATCGAAAATCATGCGCACAATTTAGTTGCATATCTAATCGAAATATGATTATGCCTCGTTAAGTGCATCACATTGGCCATTAATAATATTTTACCCGACTGATTGTATCGTTGATCATTATGTTTACCACAAGGTTATAGGTCTCATTTGGAATTATGCGAGCATCTATAAAAACTAATTCTCCGATTCAGTAAATGGTTAATTCGTGCCATCATTTCTAATAGATTTAAGATCAAACGGGAATTAGATCCATTTTTTCGCTCGACTCTGTAAAAGTGAAGCTCCATTGTGACACATATAGGCCTTATTTCAACATGCAGAGTTCGCCCATTTCTGAATCTCTTAGTCCGGTAAAGAAGAACTTGAGCAAAATAAATCTAATTTCGATCGTGAGACGAGCTGTAACATAGAAAATTATCCTATTTAAGTATAGTATATTACATAAATATATTTGTGAGCGGGAATAATAATTATAATAACGCAAAAAGCTCGGAACAAAAAATATGACTAGTAAAACAAAAACATATAATTTCTTTTTGAGAACACTCATTGTATTGACATTCCATTTTATTTGTCGGATAAATAAACGATCAGAACTATTCTCTTATTTTTTGCACACTGTTCGACAGAAAAACGATTGAGACAACATTTGGTTTTCTTCTTTGGATGCTTTTATCGGAGAACATCGGTAATAAATGGAAATTTTCTGACATTGCCAGGTACAGTTGATAACGTATCCGCAGCAGTGGCCGCTGTTGGATAATCACCAAAGACAAAACGAAAGCTAAATGCATAAGAATTTCATAACAAATTTTACAATGTTAAATAGTGGACGTATTGCACGTATAACAAGAGAAAAAACAAGAACAACAATATTAAAATACTAAATAAATCGAAGAAAAAACAACGACATCATAGGGACGAAAGCATTGGAAAACTTGATTTCGATGTTTTTTGGCTATTATGAAAAAAACTTTCAACGGAAGTTTGTTGTGGTGACGAAATTTTCGGATCGATGGAATGTGATGAAAATGTTGAATAAGACCGACTAATATTTTCAGTTGGTGCTACGGGTGTCGATGAGGATTTAATTGGCGTATTTTGCTGAGACGATGACAATTGTTTACTTGAGGGAAATAGTGAACGTATGCTGAAAACAAACAAACAAAACAGCATCAACAAGACAATAAAAAGCATTTGAAACAGAGCTTATAGTGTTAATAGTCATGTTAGTATTTTTTTAAATTCTTTCCACATCATTCCCATAGGATGTCTATTTATTTATTTATTCCAAAGGATCAGGTTTTTGGAAGCGCACGCTGCCAGTCTTTTATTTTAGTAAAAACGTCGAAACGTTTAGATTTTCATAAAAGCGCTATTTAACAATCATGTCTATTTTCACAAGTGAGCCGGTAAACTAACCGCTCTCTGAATTTCAAATTGTTATTTAACATATTAGATATTCTTTCGAATTGTCTCCTTTTGCGTAAATAGCTTAATCACCTTCGAAAACAAAACATGCAAACTTTCTCTCGCAAATCATCATGCTGAACGTATGCGAGAGCAAGAACGGCAATGTAAACGATTGCATGACTTTCATTTCATTATGCCAAAAGCTTACCACAATGAGGCTACTGCAAAGCAAACAACAGTAGGAAAGAATAAGCAAAGTTTCATACTGAAAATAAAGGCAACATATACACAAACAGAGACATGCTACTTAAAGCGTGTACGAAAAGTAAAACAGCAGCACTAAACATATAACTCACAATTGACGAATTTTTGATTCGTCACGTTTTTGACCATATAATTTTTCTTCTGGTTCCAATGGTATTGGGCCTTCAACCGGAGCGTTATTTTCATCGTCTTCTCTATAAGAAAAAAAAAACATGCATAAAACTCGTTGAAGGAAAATCTATATGAACGATTTTTACTGTTCTTTAAACAATCTTAATTCTTCTTCGACTTCCATTAATTTTGTTTTTAAATCATTTCGTTCCCATAAAACTTGCCGTAATTCTTCGAGTGAAAATCTTGGTTGATGAGCTTCGTACATGCTTAAATCGTTTATTGGATTCTAGTAAGGAAAAAAGAACATTTTCTTCGAATAAATCTTTTCTTTTAACTCACTGTTGGTGTTGTTGGACTAGTAAGATCATCGGCAACACGATCTTTCATGTGAGTAATAAAATTTTCCTTTTCTTTAAGGTGAACTTCTAAATCAAACTTTTCCACCATTAATCGTTGAGTTTGATTCGAAGAAAATGTATTCTTTTGCCGTAATGTACAATTTACTTTGCAGACACGTTCAAGTTGGCCGTGAACCTAAAAGAAAAGTTGCTTGTTTTCATTACAACCATCTCTTTCAAAAGCTGTGTTTCTGTGTGATAATACCATCACGGACTCTACGCTGCGATATCTCGCACTCATAACATAGATGAAAACCATTGTTCTCGAGTTATGATTGTTTCAGTGAATTTCAGTTTTATCACAAGATGTTAAATGGAAAAGTCATGATCAGACATTTCCGACTTAAACATATGCTTTTCCTTCGAGATTTCCGATGTTTGAACAAAAAAAAAAGCAACATAGACCGTAAAGTCGACGAAGTAAAAACGTTAATAGCAATTATCGATCTGATAGATTCCCTTGCGTGCCGGAATAATTTATAAAGATGTGAACGTTGAATAATCATCTATGAATCAGGTTCTAGTAGCTAATTAAATGTCACACACATCTTCATGAATATTTCAATACGCTAGAATGATCATTGTAGAAAAGCACGAGAGAACAACATGCGATTACAATCAATCGTATAATTATTCATTTTTCTGATCGATTGAATAAGTATCCGGTGAATATTAGTAGAAAATGGTCTTTGAACTTGAATGGATCGTACTTACTGCTTCTATATCGAGTGTTTTTTGTGTTAGTTCTTTGTCTTTTGTTTTTACCGTTCGTTTTAATTTCATATTTTCATCTGTTAAATTTTTGATGCATTGAAGTTCTTCACGAGTAATACCTGTTGAAAAAAGAAATAGAAGAAAATTTTCATGAAATGCGCCAATGTGAAAATTCTTCATACTAATGGTTTCGGTCGAACTGGGTGCATTTGATGTTTCATTTAAATTAGTTTTATGCTGAAGTTCATCACGTAACCGTCGATTTTCATCTTCTAATTTCGAAACAAGACCCATTAAATTGTCGGCCTAATTAATACAGAGAGGAAAAAAATTCATTTTTCATGTCAAGAAAATCAAGTTTTATCTTATTTTGAATACTTCTTTTCGCCATTGTTCTTCAATAAGTTCGAGTTCACGATCGAATTTTTCACGCAATTCACGTGTTTCATTCTTTTCAATTTCTAAACGTTCAATACGTGATTTCATCTCCATTAATTGGTCGGTTTCTTTTTCATTTTTTGCTGCTTGCAACTCAAGTAACTCAAGAATGTGAATCACCTTCGGTACAAGATCACGAATTGTTTCGGCTCCATAAGCTATAGATAAACCAATGTTTTCAAAAGATTAGAATAATAATGTGATCATTTACCTTCAATAATCCGTTCAAAGTCTTTTCCTATTAATGCTGCTTCGTCATAAACGTCCAATACAGTTAAAGTGGCATAGTCTTGCCGAAACTGTGCTGTACAAGTCATTTCACGTATGATATCAATCGAAGTACGTGAATGCGGACGATCAGTAGTTGTTGCCGGCAATGAATACGTTTCAGTGGTTAGATGAGTTTGCGAAGCAAGATGAGGTACATGTTCAAATGATAAGGGCGAAGGTAGTTCTAATATAAAAGAGCAGATTTATTATTCAAGTGTACGTTGATGGATCTAATTTAATTTTTATGTTATAAATATGAAAGACAGAGCAGCTCAACATTCGATACGGTGGCTTTTTTTTGATAGACAAAAATGAGTTATTATTGCCTGTAGCTCTTTCTTTTTCTTTTTCTTTACAACTCACAATTATAATTTATTGCTGAACGACAGAATCCGTTGATAAGACGTGTACTAAACCTATGCCAATATTGACATAAAAATCGCGACATCATTCGAAATCAAGTGGGAGTAAAAAGGCGACACATGACTAAAAGGATTCATCGACATCCGATGAAATATGTTGATGTACGCGAAAAAGAACAATACTGCTTTTTTTATCTAGTCGATGAACACTCGAATGAATTCGGATAGTAGCAGATAGACAATAGAAAGTGAAAGGGAACGATGAAGAACAATATTTGATTGTAGAGTAAAAAGAAAACTGCGTAGATATGCATAAAACATTATTATAACATTCTCTTAATTAGATTCAAACATATACACACATGCATGGAATGATAGAGAGACGATTATTGCTTATCATACAAAAACAGAAAACACTGAATTTACATGGCTCTTTTTTTAAATTTTATCTCTAGCTATATATCTGTAGATAAGAGAAAGCAAAGATGAAGAATATTTTCGTTTCCTTTGACCCAAAACTTGAAATATTGACTTACCATTCTTCGGGCTTGTTGTCATAAGTTCTATTTGTTCGATGAGAAACTCATATAAACAATTTATTTCTAATAAATGAAAAGTAAAGAAACCACGGAATCAATTTTTTCATTTAGATGAGTCATGATTGTCATACGCATGGTGACATCTATTAAAATTTCACTTGCTCTTAATAAATCTTAACGGTTAAATAAATTGAGGAAAACAATTTTTCTTCGAATTATTTTAGTCGAAGACAATAATTTGAAGTGACATCTATTCAGCTGTCATTACTTATTCATGATTCGACAGTGAGTTATTAATATAAAAGAGAAGTTAAAATCAAGTTATTATTGCAACACACTTTTCTAACTAAAACTTTCAATGGATGAATCCAATCTCACGGAAGAGCAAAGCAATGCTCTGGCTCGTTTTCAAGTATAATAATTGAAAAATAATTACTCAATATAAGCTTTTCCCCAATTTTCCAGGAATTTACAGATATTAAATCGATTGAGACAAGTCTTCAATATCTTTCGGCTCACGAATGGGATGTTCAACGTGCTATTAATACAGCATTAGTGTCAAATTCTGATACTCCACCTGTCACTCCGCTTGTTGCTCAACCATTGCCAAGCGAACCACAAATGCAGCAAAATACAGCTGTGACCGTTCGCTTTGTGCCAAATTTTGTATTGTATGTTTAAAATAAATCTATACGAGTTCAATTGCAATCTTTTTTTAGACAACTATTTCGTGCTCCATTATCATTTTTATATACTTTTTATTTAAAATATCAACAATATTCACCAGTGAGATTTATTCGTGTCGCATATACGTTTTGTAAGATGAAGAAACAAAGTCTTGTTTTGTTTTAAAACTGTATTTTATCATTTATTTTAGTTCGATCATTTCTATGGAGAGAACCACTAAGAGATCCACTCATCGAAATTGAAAATTATATAACTTATTTTAATAAAAAATATAGTACAAGTCATCCACCGTTCTATCGTGGAAATTTATCTCAAGTATTTGAAATTAGTTTAATTGTAAATGGTTTATTTAAATCAGGAGTTTTAGGCTCTACGAGATGCTCAACGTGAAATTCGTTTAGCATTTGTCTATTTACACGATAAGAATTCACCATTGTGCGATCGATTCTGTCGGTAAGTTTTCGAAAACAAATTCTGTTCTATTTATTATCATTCGATGAATCATTGAGTAAAAGTGAATGATATTACACTGGTTGTAATGGAAATCATTTCCAACGTAGCATCATGAGATTGCGAAAGTTTTCAGCTTGAAAAACACAAATTTATAATGATCTGAATAGATCAGCACGTCTAATCACCTCAAGAAAACCATTCTGTTGAGAAGTTCGAAATCTAGAAGATTTATCCTCGAATCGGAGGCTTTGATATAGAGATTTAAACTTGCTCTCTACTTATTGTACTATACATGAATGCACATACGGTTAGAGACTTTTTTATTCGTCAAAACTTAATATATCAAATCACTGAATGTCTACAGTAAGACTTTTCTCTTTTGCAAATTTAGCTACTTGAAAAAACGTCCATAAATAAATGTATTATATCAGACTGAAATAGTTTATTTTTTAAGCGAAGTACTATGCCAACAAGCTCTAAAAACGATGATCGGCAATAGCCTCTTGTGGAGTTCAAGTCGAGATACTCAAGAAGGATTGAATGGTGAGTTTTCCTATAATCTGTTTTTCAATAATATTTTTGTCGAAAATCATTTAGCTTCCAAGTTTTTAAATGTGAATGTATATCCTTGTTTGTGTATTATTGCTCATCATGGTTCACAGCAAACTGTTCAATTTAAACTGGAACAATATACTGGTAAATAGGTTTTAGAAGTAGCACAGCTTAGCATAAAATTTCTTTCTTGATTTAGATTCTGACGAATGTTTAGCACAAATTTTTAATGCTATTGAAAATGCTGATCAAACATTACAACATAATCGGTAGATTAGCAGAAATATTAAAATAGAATGTATTTTATTGGAAAGCGTTATATTCTAGTGAACGAAAAAATCTTAGTGATTCAAGGGGTCGTCTGTTGGATGAACAAAATGCTGCCTATTTAGAATCAGTGCGAGCTGATAAAGAAAAAGTTCGCTTTATTTAAGTTTCATGTTTGTGTTCTATCTAAATTTTATATTGATTAAGGCTGAGCAGCGTTTACGTGAAGAAAATGAACGACGTAAAATCGAAGAAGAACATCAAAAAAAACTACAAGTAAGCCATCTAGAGATTTTTTTGAATACGACTCCTAGCATTTTTTTTTCTAATTCAGGAATTTGCTGAATTTCGCGATCGTTTAAAACAAAACTTACCGTCTGAACCCCTTTCAACTGATAATGAAACTATTCAAGTTTCAATACGTTTACCAGCTGATGAACCCATCCGCCGCCGTTTCCGTCGTACGGATTCTGCTAAACTATTATTTGAATTTGCATGGACGAATTCTAGTGTGCCAAATCAATTCGAATTGTTGTGGGGTTATCCACGCAAGCGACATCAATACGAACAAATTGGTGATGAAACTATAGGTGATCTTATGAATGGAACTACGGAAACGTGTTATCTTGAAGAGATTGAACAAGATAAATAATTTGTTTCTGTTTTTCTTTCGAAATACAAAGGCAAAGTTAACTAAGAAATTCAAAATGTTTAAATAAATCTATATTTTTATGTCTGCTTGATTGAGAATTTCAACAGAATCCACCTGTATGATTGTTGTGTTCGAAAAAATAAGAATGCAACACGTTTTCATTAAAACGATTATTAGTCAATCTTATGGTAATATTTAAACTTACTCTCTATGTAAATTTATCACACCCGCACCCTCTAGAAAATGCATGATGCAAGTGAATTGATATTGAGATCCTGAATTGTGAAGATTATTTTGCGAATACTACTAGGATACAATATACCATCCAGAGATCTCTACCATGGAGTCCATATGCATTCCAGAATTCAACCGATTGTAAGGAGACGATAGTACTTATTCTATTAGGATCTGTTCTTCTGCATTCTTGATGCAAAACTATATAGATAAGAAGATTTATCTATCCGTACATTCTTCAGTCAAAATGAATGTATGTATCATCACCTATCATACGTATATGCTAAAACAAGTACGTCATTTAGAAAGATTGTCGTCTCATATGACGACGGCAAGAAACGAGGATTTGGCGAACCGTTGAATATTTTTTGTTGGTTCTGTTTCAATTTCGAGTCTGCAGACAGCCATTGACGAATTGCAAACACTTGAGAGCTGTACCTTAACCAGCTGTACATATTACGGCTCTTCAAACTATTTCGCACGCCTCAGTTCTCATGAAATTTTCGAGTGTTTACCGACAGGAAACTACCGACTAATGAAGGAAGAACAAGAAATCTTTTGAATACTTCATATGAAGCAGTTATAGCACGAAAACAGTTTTGCAGTGGTGAGTTTAAAATTTATTATGCGAAAAACAGTTTTAGAATCCAATGGATATTTCTTCTTAATATCGTTATTTCCAAAGAAAAAAACATCTGTATTTATGGCTTATATAGTGGGCGAGAAAACTGTTTTATTCATCGAGAAATGTGCAAAGCATTTTTTGTTGAAAAAAAATATCCACAAATATTCAGTAAGTCTCGACAACTAGAGGATATATCACATCGCATCTACCGAGCTACGAAGATGGAAATTCGATAGCTACTGTAAGCTGAAATTGATGCGTTGAAACATATATATTGTACATGTTTGAAGAATGCCGCCCTTTGATAAGCATTCATGCCGAATGTATATAGAAGCAATAGTCTTTGTGCGTTTGCTTTTATCTGATATAAATATTCTACGATACATAGCAGTATTTTTGCTAATGATAAATGATGCATTCTTTTTGTTCTTCAACGGATCATCCAAATCTGTTTAAACAATCAATCAGAAGCTTTATTTCTCAACCGATTAAGAAAAAATTTTTTTTTTATAGAAATCTTAAAAAATTAAGTTTTCCAATGAACTTTTTACCAACAGCATTTTCGTTGCACATCCCTATGAGTGAAAGTCTTTCATGGTCATGAATCTTTTCTGATGAGAAGCCATTCCTAGGATTTTTATTTTCTCTATTTTGTTTTGCTTTGCATTCGTTGATAAACACACTACTAAATAAAGCATCTGTATAGATTCTCATACATGTGGCAATATTTATTTGGTCGTATTGTAAAATCATCAATATTAAGAAGACTTGGATAATACATACGTTTTTATTCTCCAGATAGAAGTATATTCTGCAGACTAGAAAACAAGAGTCTACCGATCTTGAATGACTACATTGATTCTCATTGTAACATTATTTTCTACAAAATTAGTTTGATTCAAATATTATTCTATATTTAATCCAGATCATGTTGACCTTCTCAGATGAATAATTCAACCTATACCGTATCTATTCATCAAACGACGAAATACAATGCTGTTCATTTAATTGATTCAGCGCGCTCTATCATCATGTTCTCTTACTGTGAACTTTCTTCAATAGTTGGCATGTAAATCTATTCTATCCATTCTTCGCACCAAATCAACTAACAATAACAATTCAGATTCGATTAGTTGTTCTATTAGCCGTTTGACAAATGCGATACACGCTCTATTCTAAATCAATAACTATGTCTTATTGAATTAATAATCATTTACCATCGACACATTCCCTAGTACCCTTGAACTGAATGGTAGAATTAAAGTAACATATGCGCGTATGTTTATTGACATTTTACGAGAATACTATGTAGCCTAAAGGTAGACAACAGTAAAATGATTTTGAAAACATTAGTATCCAGCGTCTAGTGTCATCTGTGATTGAACATTAAAACTAGCCAATTCGGAAAAACAACTTTAATGATTTGTTTGTGAAAGAATACCGATATGAGTGAAAGACAAAAACAATAATGAATATAAATATTGAATATCTCGTTTCATTTTAATAAATTCTTTTCAAAAAAGGCAAATACAAATGAAACCTAACTAAGCGATCAGACGAGACATATTTTATTCATATGGGCACATAGATACGTGTTACTATAAACACTCGTTTTTCAAGTTTATTTATTTAGATTTGTACTTCACATGTGTAAACATACGCAAGCAGACATTTAGTTCATTGATATCTAATCGTTTTATGCCTTTCTAATGGACCGCTTGAGTGAAGGTTTTCCTCTCTGTGTCATTAACGTGGTGCTTGTTTATTCGGTAGATTACTCACTGTCACTTCTGCTTTTTTTTTTTATTTACAATCGAGAAGAACAATCTATGAGCTTGATTGGTATTAGAAGAAAGAAAAGGCTGATTTTCCTTCGTAAATTCTCTCTTTATTATCATTTCAGACATCTTGTCGACAATTGATCGTTGCTCTTCTTTATTATTTTGTCATTATTATCATAACGAGGTGTGCGTGTCTAACACAGTTTGCGGTGATAATGACACTTCTCTCTACGACGGCTTATATGATGACATAATTATCTTTTCTTTTTCTTTTCTACGTGTGTCATTACTTCATTTGTCAAATAGATTCGAAAAAACGTTGTTTTTTCCTGATTCATCGCAATTCGATCTTCTTTTCGGTTTGTATGCAGTAGAGAAAAGAAGACATGTCGAGTGGCAGTAATTCAAATCTATCGGACAGATTTAAATGAATCGTCATTCAGTCGATCCTCCCCGCTGCGCATGTATAAAGTTCATTTGTAAAAATAAACACAGAGTAGTGCATTTTCAAGTGCAGACAGAAGGAATAAAATGTGAGACTCGTCATAGAGAAGAACAATTAAATAGGAGGAGACTAATCACTTGAGCACACACATATGTACTATTCTGTTTCTTGTTGTTTTATTTGTGTGCGTACGAACAATTCTGTCCGATGAATCTTGTCAACGTTGGATCGGATAAAACATAAAAGTAAGTATAAACTATTATAAAACGACACAAATTCTCTGTCTCATCTTCTTCAACTTCTTAGTTTGACGTTGATGAAAACGTTATCGTTCATTTCCGTCTTTGTCTATATTCTACGTCGATAATCTTCTTTTCTCTCGTAATCTCACGCCGTAAAATCTGATCGAGTGCGTACAGAAAAATCTATTTAATCATGACATTTCTTTTTCTCTTCATGTTACGCATGTTTGTACATTTAAACGAGAGTCACAGATAAGGCTTATTGCATCAATTTATCAACGTTTGTACAATTGTTGATGAACCTTGTAACAAACAGACGTACATAATAATATTCTTACTTTCGACCCTGACACATATGGATATACTCTTGTCCTTTTCCCCGCATATATAAGCAATAATCTTTATTCAACTCCTATATCTATCATGATACATGTTGTAGATGCCAATTCAATCGTGATTCAATAATGGGAAACAAATCTTCAAAATCAACAAAAAAACCAAATCGATTTTTTTGTTCCTGTATACTATCAAAATCGACTTCATCATCGTCACTTTCAAGTCGTGATAAATATCTACCAACATTTGATCGTATAGTATCGAATGATAAAGCTTCTCATTGTTCTCCTCCTGCTGAAGCAAATCCATCAAATTCAATTGTTATTCATGATGAACTCGATAAGAATCTTTTAACATCAAAGAATCGTCGCTCATTATCATTGAATAATGTGATTTTATCTCTTCCGGATACTTCCAATGACGATCAAGATAGAAAACCTGTTCATTCAAAGCCACCTTTACCACCGGGAAAATCAATTACTACTTCAAAATTGCCACCTACAGGTCGATCGTTTCGTGGTACATTCGGCAATACAAAACGAACATATTATTCTCAATCGATTGAACATGCTAAACTATCAATTGAAGATTTAGAAAAATCGCTTCATGGTGCATCGAGTATTGACCAATGGATTGATTCGTTGCCTATACTTGGTACACCATCGTTGAATCGTAACAAACCCATTCGAACAGTAGTATCAACCGATAAGAAAAAAATTAAACGTAGTGTAACAATAGGTGATGAATATAATGAAAATGTTCTCAATGGTTCATATAGACAACAAGTAAGTGAGCTTTTCTTTTCTTGATCGAATCAAGGAAACCCTCAAACTGACAAGTCGAGACTAGATGCACTATGCAGACTTAATTTTGAGCTACGAATACCCTAGCAAAGAAAAACGAATTCACGTCCTTGCTATTAGCGATATTGAGCTTCTATGCTATTTTTCAAATGCATATCATGATCGTCGTCAGGAGAATAGAGGTAGCTCAAGGAGAGACTGCGGGATTACTGTATAAATCAACATCTAGTCTGTACTTGATGTTGCCTCATTAATTCTTATGTTGGTACAGAAAAAAAAAACTAATTGATTTCTTTTTAATTTATCTAGGACGATGAACCATCACCTGCCGAAATAGAATCTAATCTATCAAAAAACGAATATCCGAATATTTTAACATTGACATGCAATCGCGAATTTTTAACTTTAGCTAAAACTATGCGATTAAATATTTATTTAAAAGATTTTCTTTCTCGATTGAATAATGCAAAATTAAAACAAACATTTAAAAATCATTTTTCATTATCAACGGTTATCTATCCATTCGCTGGTATTGATCAAATTCTGGCGGACGACTTAAATCTGTTTCTTCTCACACCGGCAGAATCATTATTACCAAATCTATCATCAAATACACACAGTGTCTATAAAATTCAAGAACAAGTACGTTCAAAATCATACTTTGCTCCAGTAACAAATTGTAAAATTGAAATCGACGATGAAGAATATAAAAAAAAGTCCATTGAACTCGACCGAACACATGTTGTTATTACAATTGAAAATAAAACAACGAAAGAACAAGATGATACAACGGCAAATAAAAAAATGCCCGTTGAACAAGAAGCATCATGGCTATTCACATCAAATGATTCCTTCCAAACAGGCTATTTACGTATTGATCAAGAAAAACTTGCTAGACAATTTTCACCATTTATTTATCATTCTTCAGCCGATAATATTTATTATCTATCATCAAATTTAATTCAGCAATGGTTTAATACATTAATATTAGTTAATCAAACTTGCGCTATTGCTAGAAGATTTCTAACAGGTGATGGAAGTCATATTACTTGCTTGATTAAACAACAAGCCAATCATGCAAAGTAATTAATCGTTTTCATTATTCATTAAATTGCCTATTCTATCCTAAACGCTGAGCGTGATGCACCGTTTTATAGAATTTAAGAAGGCTACCAGAAGTCTACACTAGTTTTCTTATTAGAAGGGTGAGGATGTTTTGTAATCTTTCGACTCAATTAACGTATCCTTCGTACGCAATTAGATATCCACAATATGATTAAATGTCACAACAAAATGTCAAGGGCAGCAGCATCTTGATTCTATGTTAAGACTAGAAAATTCTTTTGAATGACATGTTTTCTAACATCTGCATTTCCCGGTTTATTTCGTTCGAAGGCATAGTTCGAGAACAGATTCTCTTGCCGTCTTTGAAAAAGCGAGTCACTTTTCTTTAAATTTTAGGTCATCTTCATTAGAAAATAATTTAACTTTCGCTGCCTTACGTCTTCCTCCGTTTATGTATTTAAATGATTCATCGCATATCAATCTCGAAGAAGAACGGCCCAATATAATTGACGCATTTTCTTCAACATTTTTATCTGATAACAAAAAAGCTTCGAACGATACAATTCATATTGATTATGAACAATATTCATTTGCTTTTTTACTTCATCGTTGGCCAAAATCTTTACTTGATAATTATTATGCACAATCAATGCGTAATTCCAATCGTAAATGGCCATCAAAATATCATTTAAACATAATAATTAAAAAGCCGATTTTACTAATTCCAATGCAACATAATCATAAATGGGAAATAAATTTTGATTTAATCGAACAAGGTTTATTTGAATTAATGAACGAATCAACATTATGTTTTTACGCATTGTGTCAACAATTATTCGGCCAAACATTAGCAATGCGTACATGTGTAAAACATTGCTTTTTAAATTATTGTGAAAAATATGGTTTACCTTTTTCAAAGTAACGATTTCTGTTTACTTTCCATAATACATCTCGAGCTATACCCTTTGATTTTCATTGTTTTCTTTAGTAATCGTGAACAAACAACAAAAATTATCTCTGAATTGATGTCGCATTTTTTGAAAGAAATCCAATTGCAACTAACGGAAAAGTTTATTCCAAATTATTTCAATCATGAAATAAATCTTTTCGAAAACACTGATGACTATAATCAATTATTCGACTTTGTAAATAAATGTTTAAATGATCGTATCTCTATCCCGACATCATTATTGACAATATCAAATCGGCCAATAATTGTCGAATTTTTGTTTCATTTTATTGATCAATTATATCAAACATTCCATATAAAACGTTCACAATTTCATTTAAGCGACAACGTTCTTATTGATCTACATAAACAGTTATGTGAAAAACTATCGAATGACACAAATAATAATAGTACGTTATTACAAAAATTTATTAATTATCTATTAAATAATCAACAAATTCTCGAAGATATACAAACGAATTTAACCTATGATTTCGAGACCAACGCTGAATTAGTACATACGTGTTTAAATCAAGTGCGAAAAGCAGACTCATCATTAATATTTCATTATACATGGACGATATATGTACAATATTTACACACATATTACAATGTTTTGTGGAATATTTAACTTAGAAAAAAAAACAAATAATAATAACAACACATTGCACTGTCAGATATTCGTTTTCTTTCTTTTTACGACTTTTTTCCGGTGATCGTGGATATTTCTCCTTTTTTTTTCGTGTCTACACATTTTTGCTTGTGTGTGTCTCTTCTCCTGACTTATCGTATATATCCTCGGTTTTTCTTTGCTTATTATTTTATTTGCGTGCAAATTATTAAAACAACGCATGAGAATGTACGAGTAGTTATATAGATATAGATACATTTCTTTATCTTTTTCTTTTGTTATTATTCTCGGTCTCTCATGCTTCTTAGATGATCATAAAATAAAAAGAATGATTTGAACAGAAAAACAAAATCGTTTGTTTTCCAATATAGATTCATTCGCGTCTCATGGGAGATATTTTACTATTGTAAGATCTGACGAAAATTAATAGTAGTGTTTCGTCGGATCTCTTCAGTTATTTCCAACTAGACGTTCGCGTCTAGAATTCAGAGGGCATGGGTGGATATTTGGCATTGAGTTTTTACTCTTGTTGTTCTGACGTACTGATAAGTAGACTTTGGGCAGCTAAAATGTTTCTTTCGGCGATTTTTCAATGCTGCTGGACATTTTTTCTAGATTATTGTAGCAAACAATTTAGCCGTACTAAAAGAGATTTACACGATGGTCACATAAAGCTGCTTCTAGTGAGGGTGTGTGGGTGTGGGCAGAGAAACCATTCACACCCACACTTTAACTTTTTTTGCATAAAGCTTCACAGGATGTTCAAAGATCTTCTCGTATGGTTTTCATGTAATTTATCGGTGTGTTTCTTTTCCTTTGGATCCTGTACCTGCCATCTCTTTTAAGGATCTTAGTGGTCCAAGGACTTTAAAGATAATACATAGAAACATTGAAAGTCTATTCTTTTAGTAGATAAGTCAGTTGACTATCATGATTTATGGCCTACTCAAAGTTGATTTACTAAAAATTTATTATTAACTGAGTCTGCTTATAAATAATGCAAATTTGGGTGTTGTAAGTGTGAGTGTTACTCAGGTTTTACTTATCCTGCATATGCCTAGAGCGAGTATCAACAGAAAATGCTTAAAGCTACTGCTAACTTTTTTTTACGTAGTATGAACAGAGACCTTTTGAACTTAAAACATTTTGTTTATTTGAGTAGACCGCATTATGTCGATAATGGTGTCTTTCGAAAAGAGTCATAAGCTAAATTTGAAATGTTCCACAAATATATCGAGAGCCATTTCGTTAAAATGACAGAAACGAAAAGTGATATCGTCAGCCAGCTATCTACTGAGGGAAGTGTGCTTATCGCCGACGTGAACAAGATAGCGCTGATCGGTGATATCTGTATTGGTCGTCTTTCCATCCGAATGAACTCGATTGCTGTCGGTAAGTATATATAGTTTGACTGAATTTTTGATATCAGTCTGCTTCTTCTTTTCTAAGATAATCCCACGCTGCACAGCATCTCTTAAGTTGGTCAATGAACTTATGGGTAGTTGTAGCACCAATTGTTCATTGTTTTCAATGTTGATGAACGTGTTGGTCGTCTGAACGATCAGTTCAGTGGCGGAGCCAGGGGGCTAGGGGGTGCTCAGCCCCCCTCCCCCCCAACAATTGTTGAGCCCCCTCCCTAGCGAGATTTTAGAAAACGCATTTTTTTATATAAATGTGTATTAATGTTTCCAGTTTAACGTTTTAACAAGTGCTGCCAGGTAGCGAACTCAAAAACCCAGAAAAAAAGCGAGAAAAACTTTTAGAATCCCAGAAAAATCCAGAAAAATTTTCAAAATTCTCAAAAAATCCGATGAAATTTTTGAAATCCCTAAAAAGCTGCAAAAAGACTTTTAAAATTCGGGGAAAATCCAGAAAAATTGTCAAAATCCGAAAGATCTGTCAAAACTGTTTCTAAAGCATGCTTTTAAAAGTGGCCCGCCGCCCCCAATTTTTGGATGTTCGCGACACCTCTGAGGGCTGAGTCCCCCCTAGCCAAAAATCCTGGCTCCGCTACTGGATCAGTTGAGTTCTTGATAGGGAATGCTTGCTACAGTGACACTACTTATACGATACACATATGACAAAATTGTGAGAACCATTGCCTCTTAACAACAATGCGTTCGAAAAATGAACGCACTATGTCGTGCAGTTGACGACTAGAAGCATCAATCAGATAAAGTTCAGTTGTGAGCGGTGGTTTCATTAGTCTGGCCAAGTTTTGGTTCAAAACGAATGGAATCTTTAATTCAAATGAAACACGACAAATAGGACAGGAGATAGATGTGCATGTGGATGTTTGAATTACACATGATGGATACGCACATTAACACCCACACCCTCAAGATTCCCGCCCAACACCGACGCTCATACTCTTTGAAAATCATCGAGCTTCTGGAAGTTCTCTATGTGACAAAGAATGCTTCATCTTAAATAATACTGTGGAAACCTTGGGATGCTAGGATTTTTGCCATGCGACAAATATGTCTCAAACAAATGAGCGATGTGAAATTCTTAGACTTCATTGTGTCGTGTGATAGCTCATGTTTTCTGATTCATTTACATTGCCGAAAGCATTGACGTACATACATGCTGTGTAATCCTTTGGATTTTTCGATACCTTAGTTTGATAAAAATCGATGAATGTCCCGAATATCCTTAAACATCTGAACTTCTAGCAGTTCTTTCGTTGAACTATCCTACGGTGTGAAAAGCGCGAGAATTCGTGGGTACCATGATTTTTTTCTTGATGCCTTCTACTGAAAATCTTGAGGATGTGAGTGAAGGGAAGATTCACATCCTCTATTACATGTCTTGTTTATTTCTTTCGCGCATTATGATCAGATTATATTTTTGTTGCTCCTTAGTGCAATAGATTCCGATTCATTATCTGATAAATATATGACATTTATCAATGTTCATAAAATAATGTTGCATACATAATCATAAAGAAAATTATAATGCGCATTTTTTGTATTCTACATCTTTATATGTTCAATCGCTCAATGAACAACAACATTAGACAGCAGCAACTCGTGCGGGCGCGTTCCATTGACGACGATGTTCTATTAAAAATATGAAATAGAATTAATCATTTAAATGAAACGTTTTCAAATTTCCTAGACAAGAATTTATTATTGGAATTGATCTACGACGATGTATAAACAAATTGTATATCACGAAATGCTTTGCATTGTAGGAACAGATAGATAGGCCATCGTTTTTCGATCGCAATAATAGAAGAAGAAAAAAAGAAAGAAAAGCAATACAGGTAATAAAAGGCGTTAAAACAAAAAGAACAAGAAAATGAATAAAAAACAAACGAGCATAAAAGAAAGACATTGGAGTGAGATGAAATAATATTTAAGAAAAAAGAAAACAGAAACGTGTTCGATTTTTATTTTGTTTTTGTTTCTTTTAGTTTTTACTCCAATTATTAACCACTAACACCATATTGAGGCATTGTTTGATATTGTACATTTTGTACAAAACCATTGCCGCCAGCTTGATCTTGTTGTTCAAAACCTTGTTGTTCAGCTAGATAGAATAGGCTCACATAGAATAATATCGATAATTTAAATAGAATTTTACTCACCACCATATTGTTGACCTTCAACGGTACTACCAGCCGAATATGCTGCCTGCTGATACATATATCCACCTTGTTGCTCGCCAGAGCCTTGACCCGCACCAGTTGCAGCTCCACTACCATATGCTGCATATTGAGCATTATCTTGCATAAATCCAGTTTGTCCGGCACCAGACAACGAACCATTGGATGCACTGGCAAGTAGACCTTGTTCGCCAGCGGCTTCAAATCCACCAATGGGACCAGCAGCACCAGCTAACAATGCTGGATCGATTTGATCTGGATTAACTATGGTATTCTAGAAAATAGAAATATTTTCTTCTCTATTTGCTTCAAAGAAAATCGTTTCATACATATTCTGGTCCAAGATTAGGAGTAGGTAAACCTTTAATAAAATCTGGTAAACCTTGTGTAGGTCTTAATTGTGTTCCGTACTGTTGTACATAAGTATTTGGATCAGCTTTAATAATACCCAAATTGCGAAATTCCTTGACGACACGAGCTTGTGTACCTTCCCATTGAATGATAAGATTTTTTTGAGCTGGCGCTGGTTGAACTGGTGGTGCTTTTTGATAGATAACACGTCGTTTTTGTTGTTTATATGGAAGCCAACGTTCGACAATAATACTAGAAAAAAAATTAAATAGCGAAAAAGAATGAAACCTATCAAACAACTAACCTTTGTGGTTTAGGAGGTAATGGTGGCATACGCTCAATGATGACACGTCGTGGTGGTGGTGGAGGCGCTGGTAACGGTTTTGTAACTAATTTAGGAGCAAGTTGTGCGGGTGGTTGTGGTGGTCGTTCTCGAATGATAAGTGGCGGTGGAGTTGCTGGTCGTGGTGGTCGTTGTCGAATAACAATTGGTGGAGCAGGTGGTAATGCTGGATTACGTACCTAACAAGAAAGAACAATTGAGTGAAATTTTTTTTATTCTCAAATCGTCATAGTATTTTCCTTTTTGTTTTACCTCTTTGATAATCAAAGGACCAGGTGGTGGCGGTGTTGGTGGACGTAAATATCGTACAGCAACTTCCTGTTTGTATGTAACAGCATCATTAGCTTGTTTACGAATAATCTGTGGGTTAGGATCAAAATTAATTTTATAACCATTTGCTCCTTGCTGTTGTGCTAGTTGACCAGTAGCACCGACATATTGTTGAACGATGCCACTACTATTTTGATCTAGATAACCACCACCTTGTTGATCGTCGGCACGTTCAGCTCCACTACGTGTATATTGAGCATAGTTAACATCTTGACCCTGTTGAGCAGCTGCTTGCGCATCACCAGTTTCTTGCGTTAATTGTTGTTGTTCAACACCGCTTGCTTCGCTATAATATTGATGACCACCTTGATTTGTTGTTTGAGATTGATAGCCATACTGATGTTGAACATATTGTTGTTCAGGATTTCCAGGTGATGTTGATGACGGATATGCGGCAGCAACTGAATCAGCCATAGGTAAAATAGTTACTCGACTTTTTTACTTCTTCTTCTTCTTCTTGTTCAGTTGTTGATCAAATTAACGTGAATATATATGTACGTATTGGTATACTTTTGTATCATACGTTCAATAGCAAGAGAGAGAGAGAGAGCGAACGAGATAAAGAGAAAGAAGACTCAATATTTCATCTTATTTTGTGTGATTAGTGATGCGCAACACAAATTTTATCGGTCACAAGCGCTATAGAGACATTTTCGTTTTATTCTTTCACTAAATGTTTCGCTCTCGTCGTGCTTGACTTGCGCTCGCGACGAGTAAGTAGGCGAGTGTAAATGTCGGTACTCATTTTTCATTGAACACACTCATTTCATCGTCCGCTGATCAATCATTGGGTAGTCCAACCGTCCATCCGTAAACTCTCTTTTACCGTTGATGGTGAGATGAAAAATATGCGATGATACATTCATACATAGAAAGCATCTTGTCGTTTTCTCTTCTTCTTCTTCTTCTTCTTTTTTTATTAAAATGTGCATATGTCATGTATCATTGTTCAAATATATATGCAAGTAATCAATCTAATTATATGTTTAACAACCTTATTTTGTTATTGTGCTTTTGATCATAGTAGAATATGAAAGGATATGTAGAAGTTTATATATATATATGTATGTATATAAACTAGAAGAAAAAATGGCCTACAAATATTAAATTTATTCTGTGGATAAGAAATAGGCATCTTTGTTTTTATTTGAGATTTTTCCTCGCTTTTTTTTTGTTTAACGTAGCGAACATATTATCTATGCATTTCATAAACTGCATTCATCGTTGATTCTGTTGTTGTTTCCAAGCTGGAACATCTTTGAGTGAACGATATCTGGTTAATGGCGAACATAATCCATCTATATCATTTCGATTTGGTCGACAGAACCATTTTGGTAAACTACGAAATCGAAAATGAACATAGCAACAGTTTCCTTCGCCACAATCTTCATGAAATTGACAATGATTCCATTCTAAAGCAAAGAAATTTGATTTTTATATACCATATCGATCATAATTACCCATATTTTTTCTATCAGAATTCTGTTTGGAATCTTTTGCTTTATAGAATGGCAATGCGGGTTTACTAATTCCATAGGGATATAGTTGATTATTTGGATTGTAATAGGGTGGAGTGATGAAATCGCTCACAGAATGTTTCGAACGCGGCGTATTCAACATGAATGGCAGACAAAACTTGTTTTCTAGTTTTTCACAAAAATAGAAAGATGCAATGAATACACTCAAGAAACAACAGAAAATAGAACGGCTATACCTTCAGTTGAATAACAATGTAATTCTGAACAACAATCAATATTTTCTGTGCAATAATCTCCTATGATTTTACATTTTTGTATTTGTTCATTTTGAAAAATAATATTCGTTGCGTCATTATGAATTGTTGCCAAACATAAATTTGAAATTAAAAATACAATACAAGTGGTGATGAGTAGATACATGAGAATAAACTACTGTTGGCAATCAAAAAAGAATTTTGCTTTTGTTCTATACGAGGAATTTAGTGATAATAGAATGGAATGTCGTTTTCCGATGATCGCAGTTGAACACTATACACAAGAAGAAGCAGAAAAAATGAATAAAAAAAGCTTGACATGAAACAACGGGAAACATAAATAACGGTTTTTTCTCTCAGTATTCATATACATTCGGTGATTGTCGAATGATGAGAAAATGATCAACTTCTTCTTGTCTCTAGATTTATGTAAAAATATTAGACTATGGCGAATATAATCTATTATGCTTATGAGTTCTTTTTTCATTTGCATTTTTTTTAGATCACAACAAATTTTTAATATCTTTTGCACACGAGAATCATTTTAGTGACAAAGGTAACGACTTTTCTTTGTAACGAAAAGGAAATATGTGTAAAGGAAAAAACCGTTGCTTTCACATTCTTAATGTGTCAATCAGTCATGCTTGTCAGTGCATGAGTCCTATCAAATTCAATCGAGTATAAAAGCCCAGAAGACCAATAGAATCTAATTTCTTGTTTTTTCCCTTAGATTGAGCAGGGAAAAAAGGATAATCTCTGTGTAAAACTGAGTAATTATGCATGCTTTACCTATTTATGTATGTAGTCAATCTGGATAGATTCTCTATTCAATCGATGATGTCAAAATATATTAAGATTTGCAAAGAAAACATACAAAAAAAAATCACATAAACATGCGCAAGTCGTCAGATTCTGTTCAAATAATTGAAATACTACTCACGACATTTACATTACTTATTTCCAGAGATATAGAAGAACGCCGAAGGACAGAAAGAACAATACGAATTAAAGATAATTTTCTACTAGTCTCTTACTTCGTGCAGCACTACTCGCTAACTTAAGAATAATTCCTGTTTATATCTGGCTGCTAAAAACAATGAAATAATCACCGTACCGATGCCAAAAAACTGAAATTTTGTTTGAATTAATAATAAGAAATATTGTAATGACACGAGCGTTCAATTAAATTCATCGATGGATTGCTAATGCATGCTTATTTTACCATCAGTACGATTTACTCGGCCAGACTTGTCATCATCCTTTGTGCTTTAGTTGTCTTTTTCTCCAACTGCTTTTTATATATTTCCGTTTGACAGTTTTCTTCTTCTTCTTCTTTGTCTTCTTCTTTTCTATTAGACTGAAATAATCTCAACGATGATAGAGTATCAATAAGATTATTTTTTTCAATGTCGTCATTCTTTTCCGTTAATTTTTTCTCTATCGATAGTGGATGTGCTGCATTTAAAGAACTAATTATAGCAACATACAGGAAGTTCTTCAAGTAATAAACTTCCACAGAGATCAGAACCAATTATAGTTCAACGAACTATGTGGTGATTTAAAATTAATAATTATAGTTTACAATAACGATCATTTACAAAAGATTATTTTTTTATTCACAAAATTAAAAAAAAGAAGGAAAGACAACTTTATGTAAATGTCTCATCGGCCCGTAAATTGTTCTCGTATGGATGATTGTTGTACGTGTTATTCAAATTACGTATGATTGTAGACGAGAGTAGGCGGGAAAGAAGGATCGAAAGATGACAACGACAACATACATACATACATACACATTTATCTATCTATTGCCACAATCCGTCACTCTTCCTAATGAGTTACGTAAATGCTGACACATACACTTGCACTACCTGTCATCCTTATGTCTATTGACATAAAATCATACGAAAGAAATTATGTAAAATACTCGTCGTTGTCGTCATCGGCTTCAGCGTCGGCCGCATAAATGTATTGGTCGGTCTGGCTACACTTACCGGAGCTAATCAAATTGACGAAAAAAACTAGAGATGAATGTTTGCCTACAAAATGCCAGAAATCAGGTACGTCTCCTCACACACACATGCATTTGCATGATGTAACAAATATATATATATATATATATGTACGTATACATACTTCCCTTTCATATTATAGTCTAAATGCAAACCTACTGAAGAATGTAGTAAACTTTAATATATTTTACTAATGGATTCTCTTGTAATAGAAAAGCAACTTCCGTAAGTTAATTATATTTTTATTAGTTAAAATACTTTTTTGTTTATCTAAATTTGATTAAAGATCTAATAGTATAGAACTAACTAAATTAGTTCATATCTGTAGCCAATGTACACGTACATTTAAAGATATAAATAATTTTCGTGAACATTTATTTCAAGAACATGGTGAACTCGGCGTCAATGTTCGACAATGCCATCTTTGCTCTTACGCAACTTTACTCAAATCGAAATACGACTGTCACATAGTATGGGTTCCTGTTCGTTATTATTAGTTATGTTTTAATTATTCACTTATTTTTAGAGATGTCATTTAAACAATCGTGTTCTCCGATGCCAAAAATGTAATTATTCAACCATTAATATCAGGTTCGATAGGTTCCTTTTATTTAAAAATAGCTTAACTAATTAGAATAGAGTTTCATTTAATCTAAATATAACTCAATCCCTAAGGTCGCAATGTTTTCTTGCGACAACAAAGATCTTTCTTGTATAAAGTGAGCTCAACGCAGATCATCTATAGAATCTTGAATGGATATTTTGTTTTCGTTAATAAATATGCAGCGAGTCAAATAATTTATTTTTATTTTCTAGACATATGTCAAAGCATGAACGCCAACATTGTGTATCACATGTAGATACCATGAAAATAACAGAAGTAAAACATCCTCGAGTTATCAGTGTGAATACTTGTAAAGATGAAAAAGTGCCGAGCTTCTCAACTTGTTTTCTGACGGATAAATTGTTAATTCCTGATGAGAAAAAATCTCTCGAGTAGGTCAATTATATATTTCGATAACACGATGATACTCACATTTTTTGTTCCTTTTCTCTATTTAGTGATTTACAAAATTCACGATCAAATAGTAACTATTCAACAGATGAATTAAATCATAGTTCATGTTCACATAAAAATAGTCTCCTTTCATTACGTACAAATGTTTGGACATTACTTCGAATGTTACTTCCACAATTATCACTTTATCAACCATCAACATTAGCAGCTGGCTACGAATCCGATCCTTCTATCGATCGACTCGTTGCTAATCTAATTCAAATACCAACATTTTATAAACCGTACCCATCTACATAAAAATAACTTCCGTTTACATTCTCCTCTCGTTTCATATATCATCACACACACCCACCCACACTCATATGAAAAATAATAATTATCTTTATTGGGCTATTGCTTCACATTTCTAGGGAAGCTTATTAATAAAAATATGATTTCCTTTCAATGACGTATATATGAACATTATTGTTATAGAGAATAATTTCATTTATATAGATTCACATATAAATCAATGAAAATCGTAATTGATGAAATTCGAGAGATAATTTAATTTATTTCGTTCCTTCAACATGACAATTACTTTTCTAAGAAGGCATAGAGGTTTTTTGATCATTCCCTAAAATGTTTTAAATTGATTTCAGATCTTTTAAGTTGTATACTTAATTTCATTATTATTCATGAAGAATAATTTAGCCGATTAAGATTAGAAAAGCCTACGTATTAAAGAGCCTTGCATTAATCTTATTACATAATTGAACAGCTACTAATCGAATAATCTATTTGATTATCTAGAAATCTAATCGTCCTTGGTGCAAACATAATAGACTTTTTGTTTTACTTAGCATCACTATCAAAGTTCGATACTTGTATTTTCTAAATCAGAGCTATGCGTGGGACGGGATTGGACGAGCATTTAAAAAAAATTTAAGCAGACAAGAAAGAATCGAAGTCTCTTTCGAGGCGATTCTATTATATACTTCCTATCTTTTTCCATTAAAATTATATTTATTGACCGCTTTCAAATTTTATTCTCATATTTTAAAACATATTCGGTATATGTTGTTTAATTTACCAAAAATATTTTTAAATAAATGTGGAAACTTCGGATTTCATCCGAGAGTTATGCGTACTGCAAAAAGTGCATGGAACATATGAGTCATTCTAGAATGTCTGAACACAAAAATTATCATGAGAAACTAGGCAATTTGATTTCTGGATGCAGTTTTTGTGCATTTTGAGACGTTTTTCCGGCGATGTTTCGTTAGAAAGCTACGACTTCGTTCAAAGCTAATATCAGATTTAGGATCAGCGTTAAAAACTGAGTCGATTTATATGTTTCGAATAATTCTGAGAAAAAAAAGTTTTTTTTGAAAAATCCCTGTACCCCTCCTCAGGGATGGTCTGATCAAAAATGACAACTTTTTCGATAACTCAGCCATTTCTTGACGGATCTTTCTCATCTTCGAACTCGACTGAGACACTGATGAGGCTGAACTGTGTAGAAAATTTCATCATGATCTAACTCTCCTTTCGAAAGTTATCGTGTAAACGGACGGACACACTGACCGATTCTAGAGTGTACTCACTTTTTGAGTAGACAAAAACGAATACAAGCTTTTCAAAGTCATCTAAGACAACGATCTTAATTTTAATGGATAGCGATAGTATGCATGTCATAGAATCGCATCGAAAGAGATTTTAATTCTTTGTTGTCTGCTTAAAATCTTCTAAAAATGTTCGTCCCACACGGAGCTCGGTTTCAAATCATCGTAGAATACCAAAATCGAAAACAAACTATATTAACAGAAAATCGTGTTTGATGCATTTTGTGACAACGAAACTCGACTTACAAAAATGACCGAGACGTCAAAAGTAACAAAGAATAAGAATGCTAGAAGTATTGACATTAGACGACAAAACATCGATGTATTCAAGGAAGTAAATGTAAATATCAAACTATAATAGCCCTTGAATACTTACCTTTTTATCCTTTGTTAAACAATGAAAATATTTTACCAAACGGTGATGAGATCAAATATTATAATTATATTGCATGATGAGCATCCGTTTTACGTTATGAATTTCATCGGAGTTTTCAATATTGATAAAATTTCTGTCATCACGTAATTGCAAAGAATCGGATGTATTACTATTCTATCTTGTTGATCACTTCTTTTCATTAAGTTGGCCAATCAAAGCTCGTCAATGAACTGAAAACGGCAATATTTAACGCACACACGGATAATCTTTCATAGATCAAGATCAGCTTGCTCTCATTTGTACAATAAAATAAATGCGGAAACATTGGATTTGCATCCGATTGTTATGTGTACTGAAAAAACTGAGTCGATTTATATGTTTCGAATAATTCTGAGAAAAACTTTTTTTTTGAAAAAATCCCTGTACCCCCCCTCAGGGATGGTCTGGTCAATAGTGACAATTTTTTCGATAACTCAGCCATTTCTTGGCGGATGCTTCTCATCTTCGAACTCGACTGAGATATTGATAAGATCATTCTATGTACAAAATTTCATGACAATTGAATGAGGCTTTCAAGAGTTATTGTGTTAACGGCCGGACGGACACACTGACCTAGTCTAGAGTGTACTCACTTTTTGAGTACACAAAAATGAATAGATCATTCATGTTTCGATCTTAATCATTTTATGAACGATTCTATTTTCATTCCACTGAGGACGAATTTATTTGCCTATTATACTAACTACAGACATCGTTCTGTAGATCAGCATATTAATATAGATAGGGATGGAAAATAAACTTCACTGTGAAATGAAGGACAGTAACAAATAAGTGCTTCTTTCAATAGAGAAATTCTATATGACGAGAAAAACAAACTACATAGATAAGACGGATATAAAGGGGAAAGTTCTTAATGCGCTTTGGATGACTCTGAACCACTGCTGGATCCTCCATCATCATAATCAGTTTTGAGTTTGGCCAATAATTTGTCGCATGTCTTCTTAGCATCACCCAGCAACATCGATGTATTTGGTTTGAAGAAAATTGGATTGTCGACAGCTAGAAAAACAAAATTAATCAAACTGAAAAATTGATTGGCAAAGTCTATTTACCGGCATAGCCAACACCAAGAGATCGTTTCATAACAATCACCTATATAGAATATAGAAAATAATGTATCAGTAGAACATTAAAACAAAAAAGAAATTTACTTGTTTAGCAAGCCAAACTTTAAGTACGGGCATACCAGCAATAATGCTGTTTGGATCTTCTTCAGCAGCTGAATTAACTGTATCGTTGGCACCAATAACGAGAACAAGATCAGTATTGGTAAATTCATGATTAATTTCTTCCATCTCATGAACGATATCATAACTAACACCAGCTTCAGCTAATAAAACGTTCAATTGACCAGGCATACGACCAGCTACTGGATGAATAGCAAAACGAACTGATTTGCCATGTTTTCGTAAAATTTCAACCATTTCAGCAATTGGATATTGAGCCTTATGGGAAAAATAGGGTTTAGTTTTTTTTTATTGATTGTTTCTACAAAACAAATTACTTTAGCAACACATAAACCATAGCCAGGTGTGATAATAATTGATGAGGCTTCTTTAATAAGATCAACTGTTTGATCACTATTGACTTCAGTATGTGTACCAGTAATTTGCATGGCTTGTCCAGTACCAGTTGAATCCGTACTAAACGAAACAGATAAGAATAGAGATTTTAATTAGACAAAAACAAATATATATATATATATAATTTACCCATAACCACCAAGAATGACATTAGGTAATGAACGATTCATTGCTTTACACATAATATATGATAGAATTGCACCACTGCTGCCAATGAGTGCACCGACAATGGTCATCAATGAATTGTTTAACATGAAACCTCTATTCAAAGAAGAAGAAAACGACACATGTGATAAATTTGTTCATACGAATCAACGAAGAAACATACTCAGCACATAATGCCCAGCCTGAATAGGAATTGAGTACAGTAATAACAACAGGCATATCAGCACCACCGATGGCTACTGTTAATGTTAAACCCATTGTTGTTGATAAAGCTGATGTTATGCCTAACATTGAAAGACCAATAATTGGATCAGCACTCATCATATAGTAGGTTAAGGCACCAACATTAGCAAGTGCTAAGCCTCCATTTATTGCATGACGACCTGGTAACATAATTGGAGAACCACTCATAAGGCCTTGTAATTTAGCATAGGCAATGATTGAACCAGAAAATGTGATACCACCGATGAATGTACCCAAAAATAGTGCTGTTTTAATGACTGATGCAGCTGGATCGTGAGCGAAATGTTCACATTCTGTGATGTAATGTGAAATACAAGTAAGGACTGCAGCCATACCGACAAGTGAATGAAAAGCAGCAACTAACTGAGGAAGATCCGTAATGGCAATTCGACGAGCAACGATTGCACCAAGTAAACCGCCAGTGGCCATTGTTGTACCGATTTGTGTAACTAATGGCATATCCAAATGAATTGCACCAAGAGTTGCAGCCAAGCCTATTTATGTATCAATCGATTTTTATTTGTTGATCATAAAAAAACTTGATTTGTTTTAAAAACAAAAATTTATTTACCTAATGAAACACCAATCATACCAAGTGAATTACCAAGACGAGCTGTTTTTTGATTACTCAATCCACCGAGAGCACCGACACAACAAAGTGAAGCTGCTAAATAGGCTAAATGATTGATGTCATGATATCCTTGTTGACTAGCCCATCCGTAGAATGCAACTGAACCGGCACCAGGTATTAAATATAAATAATTGTATTCAGGTGGATCGTCTAATTAAAATAGAAAACAAATCATAGTCTATAAGAAATCGTTGTCTTCTTGTTTTCTTTTTCTCTATATACTTGGTCGTTTGAACATGTTTAACATTCTTTGTGTAATAATAAAGCCACCACCAATGTTAATGCTTGATATAAATGCGGCACCAGCAGCCAAACCTAAAAGAAACTTCTTTTCTCAAATTATATTGAACAGAAATCGCTATTTACCTTGTGGAATGGTTTGTGGATAATATCCACCACCCATTAATAGTAAACCACCGACAGCTGTAATACCACTAATAGCATTTGTGACACTCATCAAAGGACTGTGTAAAGCTGGTTGTACACCCCAAACTGTGTGATAGCCAACAATACCCGATAGAGCGAATGTGGTGATCATATTTGCAAATTGTGCATTCGGTGAAATAATACCTAAGCCAAAAAGAGCGCCAATACCAGTTGTATATAATAAAGAGTCTTTTAAATATTGTGCAAAATAGTTCGGTGGTAAAGCGGCAGCGGCGGCTTTGGCGGCAGCTTTAGCGTCTACTTTAGGTGTTTTTGATAGAGCAGCGTCAACTTTCGGTGGTGGCGGTGGTGGATACATCAATGCACCGTCACGTAAAATAATTGAGCCGCGTACGACTTCGTCACTGTAATCAATATAGTATTGATCTTGACTACCGATTGATAGAAGAAATTTTGAAATATTATTTGCATATAAACTTGACGATTGTGCTGCTAAACGCGATGGAAGATCCGTGTAACCAACGTGTGTTACGTTTTTATAAACATATGTTTCTCCTGGACGAGTTGTTTCAATATTGCCGCCAGCTTCAGCAGCTAAGTCCACAACAACTGAGCCTGGCTTCATACTCTCAATCATTGCCTTGAAAAGAAAAACGTGAATCATCATACTGGTTTCTCCTTTTGGCATAACTTACTTTTGAGATAAGTTTTGGAGCCGGTTTGCCTAGAAAATACATGAATAAGATTTATTTCGATGATAGGAGATTTTTTACCTGGAATTAAAGCTGTTGTAATAATAATATCAACTTCTTTGGCTTGCTTAGCAAATAAAGCCATTTCAGCTTCAATAAATTCTGGTGACATTTCCTAAATATATATATATGTGTTGACAACTAGAACATTGCAATCAATTAAATCCGAAATCTTACTTTGGCATAACCACCTGTTCCTTCACCACTCTCGCTGCCCTGAAAAAGTAATACCGATAAATACTTTTTGTTTCCATATTAAACACAACCAAAACATATACTTTATAGGTCAATTCAAGAAATTCTGCACCCATTGATTGTACTTGCTCTTTGACTGCCGGACGTGTATCAAATGCTCTTACCACAGCACCCTATTTAAATAATAGAAAAAGAAATTTATTATTTTCTTTCAACTCTTCAACAACCGAGAGTAGATTGTTGTTCATGTCTAACAACGGAATAAGAAACTCTCGTCTTCTTTGAAATCAATGTCGTTCGGGCTAAGGTTACGATAAAATCTCGCTCATTGATCGTATTTATAAATAGAACAAAAAAATAAATAACGTATATCAATACCATATTTCGAGCTGTTCCGATCGCACTGAGACCAGCAACTCCTCCGCCAATGACTAAGATTTTGGCTGGTGGCGATTTTCCAGCTGCAGTTATTTGGCCTAAAATGTAGAAAAATAAAATAAATTTTTTTAGAACTTGAAATTGTTTTGCCTGTAAAAAATCTGCCAAAATTATTAGCTGCTTCAATAACAGCTTTATATCCAGCAATATTTGCCATTGAACTAAGCGCATCGAAGACCTTGAATAAAAAAACAATTTAATAGACAAGGAAAATTCGCATTTTTATTTTAAAATACATACTTGTGCTCGAGAAATACGTGGAATACAATCTAAATAATTGAGAGTCTTCAGTATAAGTAAAGATAAATTGAAATCATTTTACCCATAGCAAAAACAGTTGCATTTCTTTTAGCAAGTGCATCAACGATAGCTTTGTTTTGTATTGGATATATAAATGAAATCAATGTTGATTTGTCTTGCAATACGCTGATATCCTTTAGGTAGAGACAGGAAAGATTAGTTTTTTTAGAAATCAGATAAAAAACGTACTTCAGGACTTGGTTGTCGAACTTTAAGAATAATGTTCGATGAGTATGCAGCATTACGTGAAACAATTTTTGCTCCAGCATTTTTATAATCTTCATTGTGAAAAGATGCGCCGTTGCCTGCATTCTCTTCGACATTCAATGTGAAACCTGTATGAAAAGTTTTGGTTACAAATTTCAAATCAATGAAAGTAGTTATAGAAGACCTTTTTTAACGAGCGCTGATACGACCGCTGGCGTAAGAGCAACACGTTTTTCATTCAAAAACGTTTCCTTCGGTACACCGATTGAAAGACTTTTGTAAGGTGTACCAGTAAGTGCTTTCTTAGTAGCATCGGCTGCTTTTTGGCCGGATTGACGAGCTACTTCAGGTGTTGTTAAAGTTGGGGTTGATGAATTGGGACGCCGACATATCCATGATATGTTGTTAAAGCGTTTGGATTTGTATAAGACTTGTTGGGCACGTACCACAGTAATCATCTTTTGCTTAAAACAAAAATCATGAAAAGTTATATTCTATGAAAGAATAAAATCGTACTACTCGTTGCAATAGACTCTTGATGTCACACAAAATAAAAGTTACAGAGAGAAAGAAAATACAATTCATTGTTCAAGCCGACAAAATTTTTCGAAAACGCACAAAAAAAGAGAAAAAAATAGGCGTTTTTTTTTATAGTCCTTATCCGTGGCGGGCTAATAATTAGTGTGGTCGAATATGAAACAAAATAACCACTTTTCTCTTTTTTTTGTGCATTTAAACACATTCTCGAAAAATTTGTCTGCTTGGATGGACACAAGGAACCTCCTTCGAGGATTGCATGATGAGAAAAACATGTTTTCCTAGCAGACAGCAAGGGAAATGATCAGAACGCGCCTTGTCCAACTTCTAACTATCTTTCTATACAATATAAATCACAGCAAAAAAAAATTTTCTTTATCTCCTTACCTTTCAAAGACAACAGAGGGCAGTTTACATGCTTATCAAGCCAAACGATAAGAAAATCTGAAAAAGAAAAAAAACATTGTGTGCATAGTTTTACTTCGAATGAGTGTTTTTGTTAAAGGCAAAATAACAATTGGATCTTTTCTTCCACGAAATTTTAACTTCAGAGTCTATGCATCAATGCTAATATTGTGGGAAAGCTCACTTTCTGAATCATTAGAATAGAAGAAGAAGAAAAAAAGAAAAGAATAACAAATAGAACATAAATAACGCTAATACGAAAAAAAAACGGAAGACCAAATAAAAAAACGTTTCTTTTCTTTTTTATACGTTAGTCTTTCACCATTATTCACTCATTAGTTTGAGTGATAAAATTTGTTTAGTTTTCTTTTAGACACAAATATGATAGTATATATGTGTGTATATATGAATATTGTTTGTTTTCGTTTGATAAATAAAAGAAACAAAAACACAAAATAAAATAAAATTCGTAATCAATATATTTTATTACTGAATACTACGTGATGATTGTTGACGATTATTGCGTGTGGGAAAATAGCGAAGAGTATTCGAAATATTATTATTGTTATTTGACGTTTGAATATGAGAAAATACATCATCTATAAGAGCACCATTTTGATTGATTAAAGAAGGAGGCATTATTTGATTATTTAAAAAATGATATGGCAAATTCGTATAATAATAATAGGCAGCCGTGGCTGCTTGCATTTGAAGTGCATATTCTTGTTGTTGAGCTTGAAATTGTCGTTGATCTTTTGGTATAGCTTTTTTAACATCAACACGATATTCACCTATTGTATGAGGTCGTGCAAGAATTATTTTATCCACAGGATCGTAGTCTAAAATAGTACATAAATACATTGTTCGTTAATTGCTACAGTATAGTTGAAATAGGCCGGCCAGCGGTAGGCCATCAGAAAAGACTTTAGACTAGTTTTGAATGTTATGCACTCACTTTTTCACCGTAGAAGAATTTCTTCGTGATAAAAAAGCACCACAGACAAAATTGAGAAAAAGAAAATTTTTGTTGTTCAAGAAATCTCTAGGAACAACCAGACTCAACAAACAAGATTTCTTTCGTTACATTTACTTCAACCAATCTGATTGGCGGTGGAGAAAAATAATTCAGCTGCCGCAAAAATGCGCAGAACGAAATCAATCGTATTTGCTTTGTCTTGTTTTTTTCTCGTCAGCATTGCCTTAACATTTTTCTCACTGTGCGCCCAATGTTCGTTGCAAAAAAAAGAGGAGCAAAATACCGCATGTTCTCTGTTTCAGCCACTTTCGTAAACTTGAAAGCAAGCGGTGAAAATGATGCACGCTGAGAAATGCGCTCAGCTAGTCAGAAATCAACCAACAAAATTCACGAATGTAAATCCTTTTAGAGCAAATACAAAACTGAATGTGTTCTACAGATAGGATTGTGGTTTCAACTCAGAAAATTGAACCTTACTCTAAGAATAACAGACAATTATTACTATATTATCGTAAGACTAAAATATTGTTGATGTCTGTCAGGTGACAGAAGGACAATGGGGGATCAATTAAATTTTTTTTACCATCAAATTCAATAAATGCAAATCCTCGCGTTTTCCCATCTTTGTCATGCATCAGAAGACAATCATTGATATTTCCGTATTTTTCAAAATATTTTCGTAATGATTCTTCATCAAGTCCATCGCGAATGCCTCCGATAAAAATTTTCTTCACCGTTAAATGAATATCGTCATTATTGGCTTCTTCACGTGGCACTAAGAAAATAATCGCATAAGTGAAAACAACTAAACAAAATCTTTACTCGCGCGCTTTGGATCGATTTGACGACCGTCAATAGTATGGGGTCTTTGTTTCATAAATTCATCTACTATTGCTGAATCAGTAAACGTTACAAAACCGAAACATTTTGATTGTCCATTATGATCTTTCATTACTAGGCAATCACTTATTTCACCGAACTTTCTTGCATAGTCTTTTAATGTGTCATCAGTGGTTCTAAAATAATAGCCAAAAAAGAAAGAGGTTTTGATGAAAATTTTTTCAAACTCCTCGATTAAGATTTACTTAAAAGATAGACCACCAATAAATAATTTTCGATGTTGCTCGTCGCTGACTGAGCTACAAAAAAGAAAAACAACAAAAAAAATTTCTTAACAACTTAATCTATATGTTTCTTCTTACCGTAATTGTGTTATTTGTTCATTTGTTATTTTTTTTCTATTTCCATTTTGATATTGTACATTATTATTTGTTCGTACTGAAGATGTAGGATAAAATGCATTAGGTTGCAATTCCGGCGGAATAAATAATGTTGTAGGCTGTAAACCGTTTGCTTGTGAATTAGAATTCGTTGTATTCATTAATGGTATTGGTTTAGATATATAGTTCGACGGATGAAAATAAGTATATGATAGAGGAGGTAATGTTCCATTATTGATCATTAATTGTGGTTGATAATAGAACTCAGAATTTATGTTATTATGAGGGGCTGAAGTGTAAGCCCGTGATATATTCTCACGTGGAATTGCTTTTCGTATATCGAGTTCTTTATCTTTGATAATGTGAGGTTTTTCGAGAATACAACAATCAACACCATCGTAATCATCAAAAGTGATAAATGCAAAACCACGTAATTTATCTAATGCAAAACAAAAAATAGAAGTATTAATAAAAATCTGCTTTATAGAGTGCATGTAAGGATAACTAGATGATACTAAAGTTCCCAACAGTGTAACCTTAGGAAGTTCTCAGCAGGAAATCTGATTGATTCTTCAAGATAAAAACTTCCGAAGCAAAAAATTGACGAAGATCTAGCGTAACCCATTGCATTGCTATTATACCGGTATATTTGTCCTTATGTTATTTTTTTTTGGCATTTACATTATTTTAATCATTAGTTCGAGAAGTCACACTGGGATGAAAATATTCAATTATTTTTGAATACCAGTATATACTAACCATCTTTATCTTTCATGATATTGCACTCAATAATATTTCCGAACTTTTGAAAATGTGATCTAAAAAACACAAAACAAAACAATTTAGTAAATGAAATCATCTATTCTCGTGCATACTTAAGATCATCTTCAGTTATATCTTCCTTAATGCCTCCGACAAACATTTTTTTTACTGTTAACTGTCCTTCAGGTTTTGAAGCTTCATCACGTGGCATTGCACGTTTGGATTCTATTTTTCTTCCATCGAGTGTATGTGGTCGATGTTCCATGAAAGAATCAACCATTGAACGATCTTCAAAACTAACAAAACCAAACCCACGTGATCGGCCTTCCCTATCACGCATAATAACACATTCAGCTATTTCGCCATAGGTCGAACAATACTCTCTAACAAAAAAAGATTCATAATAAGAAAAAAACTAGACACAATTAAATTTCTATTACTTTAATTTTTCATCCGTAGTTGAATAAGTTAAACCTCCGATGAATAATTTTCGAAATTGTTCCAATGACGATTTTTCAGGGGGTTGAGATTCTAAGTTATTAGTAGTAGAAGACAAAACGTCGGCTGCTGATGATGCCATACACTCTTACTAAAGATTTTCTAATTCCTCCACAGTTTCTACTACCAAAAAAAAGAATATCTGAAATAATAAATTTAAAAACAAAATCAGTGGCAGGACAATCGAAATATTTATTTGTGTGAAATTCTATATGTTCTTCAACTGATTTGATTCATGCTGAAAGATAACACAATCATCTAAATATTAGTAAACGTTATTGATACATTTGAGAAAAATATTTCTATGTCCAATGAACTACGGACCCAAATCAATCCGGCCGATTCCACTCAACGAATGCGCTCACTCATAGGAGTAGTCTAAACGGAATTACTAAAAACTTCCGAAGCCGGTGCGTTCCGATTTTGTATATTTCAAAACTAAAATAGTGTTTTTAGTGTAATAACAAAAACAAACTTCACCTAGTACCTATTGACATTTACGTATGAATTTATATTTTATAATCCAGCAAAAATAAATCATAGACTTTATTTTTTTTTTGGATTATTTCTCTCGGATCAATGGTTCATATATTGAAAAAAGATCGTTGTATATAGTAACTGTTATTTAGCGTCGACTTTTACAAACAGTATTTATTCTGTCAACGAATGCGATAATTCTATTACGTGTCACAAGATCCTCCTGACTATTCCTTCTTTCTAGTAAGAATCGCAAGAAAAAAATTTAGGATAGGAATATCCGATAGAACGGAAAACAGTAATATTTGTGTACTATTAGAAAGATCGATTTACCGTTTTTTTTCTTCTGGATAATAATTTGTCTTTAAATCCTAGATAGACTTTTTTTCTTCATATGTCAACATGATGATTTCTGTCAAGCGAAATTAGATTTCCGCTTTGTCAAACGAATAAGCTATGTAAATAAAATCATGAAATGTCTCTTACTATAATCCGTCTATATTTGAATAAACTGTTAAATCATATTTAACAATGTAAGACATCGTTCGATAAATAATTTCAATATAAATCATATCGAAATACTAAATAATTCATTCGCGTAATCTGTGTATTATCTATAATTTAAAATATGTAATAAGTCATCATATTGACTTGTTAAATATATTATACAAAATAAATAACATGTACTCGAATGAACCGTATAGAACAAAATTTTGTTGGTAAACAATTTCATTATAATGCACAAAAAATTGTATATAGATAATATCATCTCGACAAATAAGTCACGACATTCTTTCACTATCTGTTTATTGTGTTGTATTCAAGGATAAGCTGCCAATGTAAATACGTTCTACATCAGCTGTAACTGTTATGGGTACATTTTATGTACTTATACAGAAAATAAATAAAAATTATTGTTTATCCGTGTGAAAACAACAATGTAAAGATTTTATCTAGGTAAAAGCGAATAATAGTTTATTTATTTATTTGCATCCATCATGGGGACGTGTAAAATTTTATTTTAGATATTTAGTCCGTATATATAACGACATCTATTTCTATTTCAAGCGAATATACGAGTGCAAATTTCTACAAGAGAAAGAAAAAGTAGATAATTAGTACAGAAAATGGAAAATTCTTTTATAGTTTTCAGAACTGAAAAATGTAGATTTTGTTTTAGTTGAAATAGAAAATGGTTTTTAGGAATAACTTCGACTTTGATAATTATTTGAGCTTAAATTGTTTGATCATGTTCTATAATAAATTCAGTGACTATCACAGTAAGCCAGAAAACTTTTAAAGTTAACCAATATGTACTTCCCTGTAGTACTGACATGATATTAGTGTAGATTTTCATTGGTGTATTCTAAATATTCCAAGTGTTACAAATCAAGTTGATGCGTGTTCATCTTCTTCTGCTCGAACTACGGCGACGTCGGTGTGGTTTGTGGCAGTTTGTGGCAGTTTGAAAACATCCGGTTGATTTCACCTTGTAAGTCTCGTGGAGATAAACGTTAATAGGAATTTCCTACGGGGAAAAACTCATTCCGAGCCATTCGAATGAATTGAAATGGCTTTCAATTAATCGCTATGAATTAGTGTCTGTAAGTAGTTCAAACTATGCAAAAACTTTAAAATTCATTAGAAACATAATTATCGCTATTGTCGAAGTGCTCTGACTAAAGGAAGCCTGTTGAAAATAGTATAATCATTTTCCAATATGTATCAGACTTTATTCATCGTCATCACATTATGTTGTTACTAACACACATGAACATTTGTCATATTCATAATTACAAGTAATTACTAACAAAAAGATCCACCATTATGTTGATAAAATAATATTTTAATAGAATCAATTCACAATGGAGCCTCCCAAGCGGACTCCCATAGATTCCAATGAACTTTTGTCCATGGATATTGCACGATGTTCGCTAGTGAAATCATTGATGGTATCTTAGTGTTCAGTCGGCCTATCTATTAACAAAATTTCTGAGCAAATTCAAATTATTTCACTTTCTGGTAACTCAAAAAAAAAAGAAAATCTGAAAAATGAGCATAACTTTTCAAGAAAGTGCTATGCATTCAAAGTCTTTTGCTATTTTTACTATAACATCGTGCAGTATCATGGACGAAAGTTCATTGGAATCCGTGAAGTTCACCTTGGGAAGCTCCACTCGACAGTACTTTCACAAAGGTGACTATTTAAATAATACTACTGCTAAATGTATCTTTTTTTTCGAATCAACTGAATACTATTGAAATCACATTGAATGTAAAAAATTCATGTAACTAGTCTGCTTTATATGATTTTTCTTGTCCTTGAAAGTTACTTGAATATTATAGAAAAATAGTCATTCAGTATGTACAAATGGGGATGATTTAGAATAATTCGGAGCCACGGATATCGCAGGCTGCCAAGGTTAGATGAGAGCAAGACTTTCAGTGACTTACGTGATTGATCAGAGGATTCCTACAAAATTAGTCAGAGTTAAGGAGAGTTCCCAATCTTCAAAAAACTTGACCATCAAAAAGATTCAATCACTTTGCTCAAGAAAACCAAAATGCTTTTCGAGGCCTAGGGATCAAATCCCTGCTGTACGTTTAGAGTAAAAGTACTCCACACCTCAAATTAATTTTTTCCATTTCATCCATATTTTTTATGTAACTCAATTCGGATAAATAACACTACATGAGAGTAGGGATGGACCATTTACATTATAATTTTAAATTAAGTTCAATATCATCAATTAACAATAAATTACAAGTACGAAGTGTTAAGAAGAAAAAACATCTTAAGTTTCATGTTAACTGGCACTGCTTCAAAGTCTCATTAAGAAAAATGGTTCGTCCCTATTTGAGAAAATTTTACAATAGCTAGGCATGCCAGCGAATGCTCGAGTTAGTTTTTTTCCCCTTGGCAATTTCAGTTATAGCTTTTTGTCATATAAAGTATTTTAATGATATCATCTCTTCGAATCAAATAACACCCACGGGACATTTCCGGTGTTTTCAATCAGTGCCGCCTTCTTTCTTGCAAATAAAAGATCTGTTAATTCTAATCAATTTATGATTTTCTCACAATTTTATTGTTTAAAAATTCAAAAAAACAAAAGTTTGATCGGAAAATTAATATTGCATTCAAAAAGAAAAAACACGTATAATAATAAAATTCGAAGTAAATATACCAGCGTATGCATGTAATTCCTAGTAGATGAACTCCTATTTTGTTTGTTCCTACAAATTGGTGATATTTTAAATGAAGAAAGATTCAGCTAAATCCATTTACTGACAAACACATAACTTATTACATGACTCTGCGCAACTATTGTAAAGCTTCTCATCACCAATTTTCTTCTCCAAAGAACAATTATTTGCACAAACGGTTTCACAGTATTTTTCCATAACAACACTAATATCAAATGATCGACTAAACTTAATTATCGATGTACAGTTAAGAGATTCTGTCATCATATCTTTCGTCGTCGTCGTCGTAGTAGTAGTACTTGCTATGGTATCTGTTTCTCTCGCAGTAGTAAAATTACTCGCTATTGCTACTGTTGTTGAACTAACAATTGATTCATCTCGACCAATAATGGCAACATCTGAACATCCATAAAACTCTTCATTTTCTTTTCCACAACCAAGACAACCTCTGCCGTTCGATACTCCCCAACTGTTCCCCGTTTGATATTTCCATTGAAATACACAATGTTTACATACAAGTTGAGCTGGTAATCTAAGCTGAAGTTGTACAGTAGAAAGACTTGAAGGAATTCGATATTGTGTTAATCCGTCTGTCGTGTTCAAGACGTTCAAATCAAGACAACTTTGTGTAGCATCTTTACTCGAATCATCATCAATGCTACATACACGGAATTCGAATAGGCCCAAATGATTTGCTGTTAACTAAAATGTTCAATAGATAATCGCTTATTCAACAATAGAAGTACTCACAATAACGGTTACAGATATTACAGAGCCTTGAGTATAGGTTCGAACAATTTTACCCAAATATTTTTCACCACCTTTATCAAATAGTTTAGTTTTTTGATCGTAAGCTTCGCCACATATTGAGCATTTGCCTCCTAGAAAGGATTTACAATAGAGATAAAGATTTATTTAATAAAGATTTTAATTACCATTAACACTCCATTGATGATTAATTCCTCCGCAAAACATTTGTGTATGCTCATAATATGTGCAACATGCTCGAAAATCACGATCCATTAACCAAGCTGAACTACGCGCCGGTGGGTCAGCTAAGTAGCCATGGCCATAAGTTTTGTCAATACAATGAAAAATTAGTACAACAAGGAGAATAAAACCAACAGTATATTGCATTATGTAATAGGCCTTGATCAAAACGTTGCAATGAACGACGACACATTGAACACCAATTTATATCCAATGGTGTGAGTCATTGTGATTAACTGAACCGAATATCAAGTCAAGGTCGATCATTCAATCCTTGAACAACGCACATCTTATAATAGATAATGTTTAACACAAAATGGAGAGCATTCAAATTTATTGGCGGTATCTGTTATAGTTTGAAAGAGGAAATAATTTCTAGCCAAATAATGACTTGCATATTGTAGGTCACGCCTTTTTGAATAGATGATTTTGTATTATGCAATACAAAACTTATCAAGGATAAATCAATACGAACAAAACTTCATTGAACGAGACAATGTACTGTTTTTTTTAGAGTCTATTTTCATTATTTTATCAACTGTATACCATTGAAAAATGTTATATTCAACATGCTTTTTCTCTTGAAAACCCCACGAGAACAAAATCTAGCTTTAGAAGATCTGAATAAGTGGTAAAACTAGATTAGTGAGATTTCTTGACCAAGTCCGAAATGTTATTATTTCAAAAGCACGACTTTTGTAAATCGCCTAGTTTATCCCATTGAATACAATCACTGAATTCTATTTTTTCAAAAAACACAGTTCCTCAATCCGCCATCCTCTCTATTGTTGAAAGAGCATTCAGATGAATGCAATGCATTCTATCTACGATGCTAAAATGAATAATCGAAGTGAATCGTCATGACAGTTATGTCAAACCAAATAAATGTATTTTCAGTGTTTTTTTAAAGCATTACCTGAAATTTCAGAGTATAAAATTCAAAACTTTCCATTATCAATTCTACTCGACATGGTTGATTCTGCCAATTGTAAACCATAAATTCACAAGATCTCATTATGCTAAGCGAACAACTTTCTTATAGGATTTCCCGAGGACTAAATAAATAGATGATGAACAAGCATGAGCTAGAATAAATTCAATAGAACCATCCCCTTGTGATTAGTAAAAATAGCTGCATCATGTTTCGCATTGTAATCTCGTTAGAATCGCACTAAAGAGTTTTTTCTTACGGATAATTTAGAAGAAAAGTTTTGACTTTTATAGCGCGGCGAGATAATTATTTCCTGATTCTAATACGAGATCCGGTGATCGTTTGTAAAAAAAGCACCACTGATTGCAACTAAACATATTTTTACACCAAATTATGCTGCGTATCAGTTGAAAAAATTTTTAATTAAAATTCATCCGTCAAAAAAAGGTACGCTGTTAAAATCAAGAACACACTTTCAAACGTGTTCTCCAGATTCATAAGCGCTTAGATGATGAGTGTTGCCGGCGAATAATTCTTCTGCTTACTGTTTGTAGAAATATCTCATCTAAGACAGATACCTGTTTTCAAGAACAGGAAACACAAACATTAATGACGACGGAAACATAAATACTGTTGGATTTATATTTTAACTGAAAACGCCCGAACAAAAGAGTCCCTACCGATTAGATCGATATTTCCTGGTCTATTCTCGCGAACGCAATCGATTGTTTCAGTCGATTGGATAGAAATGAATTCAATTTGTTCGGAATTTTCTAACGGACATTTTTTTGCCTTCAAAATGCTGGTTGCTCAAGACATTTTTTTCTAAAAATGAGCACTCACGCTGTATTTTCGTTCGCTGAGATGGCAAATGCATAACGCGACATGTGATTATCTCAGCATTCCATACTACCATCAAAGCAGATAATATACTGCGTAGCAGATTCACGTATGATCTTGACGGAAGATAATTCTTGAAGGATGAGAATATCAATAATTTGGATTTAAGTTTTTTTTATTTTATTGTAGAAATAATAACAAAAATTCACATTGTACTGATGCTTCATTAATTAGATGTTTAGTTAGAAGAAAAAAACGATAACAGAAAAAGAGAAAAACATTTATGCATCGCGTAGCGTAACTCTTCATGCTTAGCGCATCTATGAAATTGTCAAGGTTGTTTGGACAATCTCATTATTTTTTCCAAAGAAATAGACAACAAAACGAAAGTTTTGAGAAACCAGAAACACATCAATGAAAACGAGACCACTCATTTCAAGATCGATGAAGTCTGCTGTTTCCGTGTTAGAATCAAACAAACATAAAGAATACGACCGCTTTCAAATCATATTACTATTAACGAAAGTACTTCTCCGTACCGTAGCGCCGATTTTTATATCGATAAGACTCCTATCGAAATGTGTTAATTTATTTATTGAACGATAAACTTTGCATTGTTGTATCTCTTCTAAGTTGTATATAATGGCGCGATCTTGAAAACCTATTCGTTTATCCCTCGCGAAATTCCAGGGTTTACTATTCTTACTCGCCAATAATTCTGAGTCATCGTTCCCTCAGATTCTGACATCCTCCGGATAACCCTACCCTATGAATACCATTAGAGAAAATGAGTTGCGATGAATATAAAAATATAGTCCATTAGAAAATTATTGTATAATGAATATTTATTTGAAGCTAGGAAAGATTAATTGAATATAGTTGTTCTGTTTTATTTAAATAGAATAAATACATTTAAAACAAAATCATTTTTTCAACTAATGACAGAATTAACTTTTTTACCACTTTTTTCCAGTAGCTGAATAAGTTGTTCTGTACTCATAGTTGATGTTAAATCTATTTTAGCTTTTTGTTCATCCAAGACTAAATCAACAGTATACTTCAATATTTGCCCAGGAGACGATTTCATGTGTCGCTCAAGGATTCGTTTCACAGCATTTGAACAACCTTCGCATGTCGCTTCGATTTCAAATTTATAATGATGTTCTTCTTGGCTATTCATATTTCTCTTCTTTTGTTTTGTTTTTATAAATAAATGAATGAGTTCAAAAAGAAGATCTAAATGACAACCAATCAAACTGAATGATTCGACATGGAAATCTAAGTTTAACCTCTGCTATTCAACATTTTCCTATTGGTTACTCTATTTGTCCATTCGACACGGTTTCAAATCTTGTCGTAAATTATCGGTCGGTCAAATTTAAATGCACGGATGGCATTATATTATGATGAAATCCTTGCCGGAAATTGTTTTGGTCAAATAAATGTTACACCAACTCCTTCTATAACCGATAGTACGAATATCGTAGAAACAAAAAGATTACCAAGTCCTGTCAGCGAATTTGGATATACTACAGAGGAATTGTATTATAAAGCGAGAAAATTTGTCAAAGGTAAGTTAAGCAAAATGACGAGCTAGAATGTGAATTGAAATATATGCCTCTTGTAGAAAAAAAAGAACAAATTCAATTGAAATATGGTGATAATATTCGTTTAATTGCTCTATCCAAACAAGAGAAATTAGGTAAATGGAATGCTTCATACACACGAAATGTTGGATTTCTTGATGTTGTTGGTAACGATCGAAAGTAAAAAACAAGCAAATAGAAATATTCGGTTTTCTATGTTTTATCGAATTTCTCGTTTTTCTTATTATTATTTAGACAGGCATGGATTGCGTTAGGAGATATGACAAAAGAACAAGCTATGGAAGAATATGTTAAATTGCTATTGGATCGTTGTTCGATATTTCGCATACACTTACAAATACAGGATGTGAAATATGTAGTGGAAGATCAGTCAAGGTAAGAGGAAAGCTCTTCTTGTTTCTTCGATAAGAAAAAAAAATCTTATGAATAGCTACTAAAATGACTTATTCAAAAAATAGTCTTTGAAAGATGTGCATTTTCTGATTCAAACAAAAGTGACCGGTGTTTTTCGGAGTTCGAGTACTCTGAAAAGCTTGAGCGATTATCTCTATGTTTAAAATATCTTAATTCGTATGTTGAAATTACTAGTGTGAATAATAGAGCGATAAATAGAATTCAAATGTTAATATAATCTCTATCAAAAATACTAAATAGATGCAATAAAAAACAAACAACATATGATTTTAGTCTCATATGGAATAGTAACGATAGCAAAAAAAAAAGAATTTGATCAAATATCTGTAAGTTTTAATTAATGAATTTTGATTGGACTGCATAATACTGCGATTAATCTACTCGAAATGCTGAAATCGTATTCAAACGAGTCCTACGTCTTTTCTTCTCAAACCTTGATACTTGTAAAGAAAAACTACCAATAAGTTTCATGCTCTGTGATCTTTTTCGCAAGATTAAAGGCTTCTCAACTTTGCCAACAGTACAAAGAAATACGGAAACATTATGACTTATTTTTAGAATGATTCTTGAAATTTTCTACTATCCTGATATTTTCTGCCGTGTCTACTAATAATCTTTGCCTTTCTCGTCTTCTCAAAAGCCCTTGTAACTAGTTACCATTATTTGAGTTGGCATTCTTTTTTTTTGGCACATTTCTCTTTCTATGTTTTCTTCTTTTTGTGCATCTTTATTATAATATACATCTTTTCAGAGCAGTTCCATTTCATCTCTTACTTTTCCTTTTTTTTCCCAACGGTTGATCTGCTGTTGTTGACGACTTTTTCTATTCTTCACTAGTGCGTATAAATGGAAGGAGAAAAAAAGTAAAGAATGCTTTATCGAGAATCTCATAACGCATTTGCCTTCACATTTGATCCTCTAAAAAAGACAAATGAGTGACGGAAAAAAACGAGGATTCGCGGAGCTGTTCTTCTCTCTCTCTCGCGCGTTTCCGACTATTTTTCTTATCTATACAGCATTAGTTGCTCGTGCACACGGAGAGGACAAGTTGAGTAATTTACTTTCCTATTCGTCAAAATTACAAATAGACGGCAGCTTACATTTTCTGCATACACACTATTCCGCTTTCTTTTGCATTTTAATTAAATCTTGTAACACACTTAAAGCAATCTTCTCTATCGTACCGCTAACGTGTTCTTTGATTATCTTCTCTGGCAAAAGACTCGTGATTTTTGTTTGGTCTTGCTATAGAGATTATTGTTTACTTTTTAGACAAGATTATGATACTTGCCGGCAATTAGAACAGGCAGCTGAAAAAGCAAGACAATACGAATTAGAACAAGTACTACGTTTAGAAAAGCAAAAGAAAAAACGCGAAGATCTTCAAAGGTAATTATAATTAGATTAATAATATGTTTTTAGCATATAAACTAAAATAGAAAACAAATTCAAGACGCACTCAATCAACAAACATATTCACAATTCAAGGCATACGCCGAACAACAATATAAAGACAACAGAGCAGCTGTATGAATATATATACATATACGCCTTAAATTAATTTCTTTGTTCATAAATTTTCTTTTAGCAAGAAGATTTGATTCGTCAATTACAGGAACAACATTTTCACAAGTATATGCAACAAGTTTATCAACAACAACTAATTGATCAACAACTTCGAGCAGTAAAATTAGTTTCTAATGAAAATTTGAAAAAGAAAATTATTTCCATCGTTTAGAAAGCAACTATGGAACAAACATCGGAGAATATTACATTATCATCAGTACCACCATCAAACGCCGTTCCCCTACCATCAACACTAGCAAATACTGTGATTCCACCACCATTAGTAAATGTAGTCCCAACAAATATAGTAACAACTTCGTCGCCGACGATTGAAGTTCCATCTACAAACATGGAACTTCCACCGGCTCCATTGAATTCAAGTATAGCATTACAAGTGCTTACTCGCATGCCACCACTTGGTTCTGCACCAACTAAACTTCCACCATTGGTCCACCCTCCACCGCCTCCACTGATTTCGAATGCAAATGCTTCAGTGCAAGATATGAAAATAGAATCAGCGATTCCTGTTCAAGCAAAATTCGAAACATTGAATCTCGATACGCCAATGGAACTCATTCGTCCTGCTGTTTCACAACCGTCTATGAGCAATGATCCGGCACAACAGTCTTCATCATCAGGCGAAATAACGAATGAATTAAGTGCTGCACAAGTACCGATGGGCAGTAATCAGCTTGTGCCAGCTTCATTGACGGAACCTAATGGAACAGTAAATTCAAATAATGAATCAACACTTCCTTCTGAACAAGAAACGCAAGGTATAAATTCGTAATCATGATTAATAAATATTTTAATGGGCTATTTTCTTCACCATAGAACTACCAAATATAATCACAGCCAATATGTGGACACGTAAAGACATTAAAGAATTTAAAGATCAAATACGTAAAGAAAAAGATGCTGTTATTAAAATTGGCAGTGGCGAAACAGTAACGGTAAGCTTGTGTTGAATTCGACATCTTTTCACAACTAATTAAAGTAACGAAGCGAATGAGAAAAAAAGCGTTCTTTGACATGATAGTTGCTTTCCTCTTAAGTTGCATACATTTCAGATGACTAGATTCCCTCTCATATTAAATTACATTTATATTTTTTAATTGGTCACGCACATGTTTAGGTACGTGTTCCAACACATGAAGATGGCAATTGTATATTTTGGGAGTTCTCTACTGATTATTATGATCTTGGTTTCGGCGTTTATTTTGAATGGAATAAAGCAGAATCGAATACGGTTACAGTTCATGTGAGTGATTCAAGCGATGAAGAAGACGAACATGAAGATGGTAATTATATTATATATTCCAATCGAAAAACAAAAGCATCATTCACTATTTTCGTCTTCTATTTTAGGCGAAAAGAAAGATATTGAAAAAGGCAGTGGTAGCACAAATAAACCACCGAAACCGCGGCAAAGTGAAATCGTTCCAATATATCGACGTGATTGCCATGAAGAGGTCTATGCTGGCAGTCATCAATATCCGGGCGTTGGGGTTTATTTACTTAAATTTGACAATAGTTACTCATTATGGCGTTCGAAAACACTTTACTATCGCGTTTACTATTCGAAATAAATATTTCAAAGCAATCATGAACACTTTCTTTTTTTTTCACTTCTCTTTCATCGGATCTGTTGTGGCCTACAATTTTGGTTTTGTTTTGTTATATTGAAAAATTGAGAAATATCATTGTTGTTCTTTTTTGTGAATTTTATGTTTTATATTTATATATATATGCATATTTATTCTTTCGTTCTTCTTACCAATATTTGCCTATGAAAAGAACACGAGAATGACAATTAACGAATAAACTTAATTTTCTCTTGAGGCAACTTGCAGAATTGATGACTGAATTAATGCGTTTTCTTTTTCTTTTACTCTCATATAGGTTCAGTTGGAGTTATTGTTTTCTTTTCTTTTCTTTTTTTTGCTTTTTTAGATATGAATAAATCTGAGCAAACAGGAGCTCACGATCTGCTTTCAATGTTAAACGATGTTGAGTTAATGTCTGTTAAAGATACTGTCACTAAATCAATGATATCAACAGAATCTGTAAGCGCAAGAGAAAATTTTTATTCAATTTGTTTCTAGTTTTCATTTTAAGCGCGATGAAGCGATCGATGCCTGTTTAAAATGTTCACAATCAGCAATGCAATTGTTACGACGAAAGAAAATTCGACGAGATATTCTTATGCAGTATTTAGCTAGAAAGTCGATAACAATTAGTTCAGGTGCTGATAAGGTAATTAAAGACGGTGAACTTTGAAGAATAGTATCAGCTGCCATGCTTGAGCATGTGTACTGGCAGATATGTATCTGCAAGGCAATTTTTATGCACCCTGAAACAATCAACAGTAAATATTTACCTTGAACATCTGCGCAATAGAGTCATTGTTCGCAAGCTAAAGTTTCTCGGACAATATTATTTCTCTAGTTGCTTTTGTCTTCGTCATCGTTCACGATAGATCTCGGGCCAAGCTGTTCCTATTATCATAGTTGCTGCGATATACGAGTTGGTAAAAACAAATTATTATTAAATAGGCAAATTAAGCAAAATCCTACATGTAGAGTTTATATATCAAAGATAGAGATGGATTTGTACACAACGATGCGATAGATTATCTTTTTCTGTAAATTTTTACCGAACTGCGATGAGGACCGGTTTTGGTGATATTAGAAAGCATATTTGCATTTGCTTAAAATTGAAAGAGAAAGACTGCATACATGATTTTGTAGAATTCTACGCTTAATTTTTGATGATAAGTTACATAGAAAAAATCATTTTTAATCCCATGAACATTAATAATTCAGTGGAAAATAGATCCACTTATGTTTTTTTCATTATCATGAAAGAGTCCATTAAACGAGAAGCAACCAAGCAGAAATCGTGTGTTTTATTTTTTCTATTTAGGTAAAACTCATTAAACAAATAATCGATTTTTGGAATAATGGTTCTCAATCAAAACCAAACGACACTTCATCTTCAGTCACATTGACCAGTATCAACCAACTATCGCATCAATTTACTGAATGGTTTTACACATCATGGAATAGTCTATCAACATTTCAATCGGACCATTTTTTCCCCGATTGTCAATTGACTCTTATACATGAAAACAATCGTCGAGTTTTAGGTGCATATTATGTCTGCGACGCTCTTCGTTCTTACGTTTCCAATAGAGATCTACGCTTCTATCCAAATCCACAGTCAAACAAAGTCGAAGAATCGAAACACGGCCTTGTTTTAATTCAAGTTCACGGAACAATACATCAACGTAATACGTGCACCGGCATATTCGATCAATCATTTGGTTTAGTGCGTGATCCAAATCATTGTAATAATTATTTAATTAAATTTTGCTTTCTTAATATGCAAACGCAAGAACCACCACCATCACCACCGTCACAACAACAATTGTTGTCAGCCAATCAATCGATACCAACCTATCTTGTTGATATCATGCAGAATTATGATCAAACTATGCAACAGCAAATTGATTCAACTGATTATTTTATTGATGAGCCAGATAACGAGAGTGATTGAGTTGTGCTCTTTGAAACAGTCGTTTTTTGTTTTGTTTTGTTAATTATGTATATAAAATTCAATCCTAGATTAATATATCAAGTAGAATAATTGTGAAAAATAAATGGTTAAACCTATTTAAGGATTTGAACATATGAAAATATGTGATGAAATTATATATTGAAATTCTCCAAATAAATGGAACTTTCTTCTATGAAAAATATTCTGTAACTTTCTTTTAAGACGATGGATGTTTTATTGGATCGAAATCATCACAATGGAATTACAATACAAATGCTAATCAAACTTGAGAATGAATAAGAATAATTTATTTTTTGTGTAGCGCTGAGTTTGAAGATGTAATATATTCGTATGTAATTCTATGCTTCTTCGTTGTTTGCCGACGTGGATGTTCTTTTTTGTGTGCATAATAAACGCCGTTCTAGCGAAGGAACTGCAAAATTTTCAACGTTAATAAGAAAATAATGCTTATCCTAAAAGAAAACAATTGGTTATTTATTATTATTTCAACACATTTTCTGAATTCTAATTAAATAGATGATGTTTGTGGTGTTATAGAAAATATGACATTTTATTCTAAAAAAAAGTAATTTCATATTATTCGACGCCATCTCTTTCAACTGACTGTCAGGTCAAGGATTTCATAAATTCTTGATGAAATTGAAAAGCTAAGGAATCGATTTTGAAAGCACCTACGACATTATACTTATGATAATTATTCATCGATAAGTCTTTTGGGAACTTCAGGAGAAGAATTTAATCAAAAAACCAGCATTCCATACTTTAGAGCAGTATGTGTATTATTGCACGTGTAAAACTAGCCTCATTTTCTCCAAAGATGAGTAATTTTATTCGCAAAAGAGATGTGCCATAGGACTATATAAATATTATTACTAGTATGTTTATCTTCCGTATTTCTTAAACATCGTAGACATTATTTGATATTTTCCAAGGATATCTAGAGGGAAAGATGATAGTAGATTAGAAATTTGACAGCAAACGATGGTGTAAATATAATATAAAATTTTTAGGTATTCATTTTCTTGATTAACTTGGATTTGCTAAATGTTATTATATGACTATTTTTGTGTCTACCTAAGAACATCAGAAGAAGCTAATAGGATAGAATTAGGGGGGGGGGGGGGGGGGGGGG